TCGGAGTCGCGGAGGGAGGAGGCGAGGTGGGCGGTGAGGAGGCGGCGGATGTGGTGTGTGGTGGGGCGGGAGTGGAGGTATGGGTGGAGGGATTCTTGGACCTGGGGGATCGGGCAGGGAATGTCTGAGGTGGATGCCATGTTTGGAGGGTCGTGTAGTTCAATTGCGTGGTGGAGAGGTAAGTTATCAACAAGACATATTTGGATGGAGCTTCAAACAATCAAACGCCCAGGAAACAGGAACATCGCGTGGTCACGTGCATTGGTCTCAAAGGCATATGAAGAACAAGCAATCGTTTCATCCTCCGTCTTCACTCCTATCTGAACTATCTGTGGCTCGATGCGCTTTTAATAAGAGCTTGAGTCCATGCCAATTTGACATGCCCAACTAATACCCGAGTTCTGAGGGTAAGAAGTGCCAATTCCTTCCTCCTTACGCCGCATCCAACTTCCATTTTGAAGGTACCAACCATCTTACTCTGCCATTCCAATCGCCCATTATTGAGCTTGCGTCAGGATTTCTAGTACAGGCCAGTATCAGTGACCGAGGAGATGCTGTTGAAAAGGAAGAGTTCTTGCGCACCTGTGAGAAATTGCTCGCTATCAGGCAGTTAGCGTGAATTCCGGCGACGTTTGCCTACAGCGATGGTAGAAGCAATGGCTCGGATGAACTTACAAGCTTAACGTGATATACCCATCCCGATCCTCGTCGTACTTCTTGAAGACGTCCGTCATCCGCTTGAGGCTGATGCACGCTTGCACGAAGAGGTCGAAGGATATTGCATTCTCGTTCCGGCGGTCGTACGTCCTGAAGATGAGCGTCACGAACTGGGGAGAGAGCCGATAGCCGAATGCAACGAGGGCATCGGAAAACTCGGTGTATTGGATATTTCCTGATCGGTCAACGTCGAAGCGGTCGAACAGTGTTCTCCAGGCGTGCAGGAAGCCCCATAGACCACTAGAGACGTCATATTAGTCTCAATGAAGCATCATGCGCCATGGATCCTCCAGGAAGCAACTCTAAAACGGAGCACAGCCATAACTTACCAGAACTCGTCGAAGTTGATCGTGTTCGAGCGATCTATGTCAAACATCCTTCAAGCCGCGCAGTCAGTATAATTCCGGACAGAGTCGCACGTGTAGACCAAACGCAACCCACCGGATCATCATCCGTATCGTATGCGGATCGAAGCTCGAGTAATCCCCATTGACCAGCGCCGTTGACAGCTCCTTCTCCGACAACTGATTACTGTCTATCCATCGTCAGCATCTGCCACATCCACCATTCCGAACCCCTCCCCTCTCGCCAAATAAAAACCGCCCACCCATCCAAACTCACCATTCTTATCCACCGCCTTAAACAGCGGCCACAACGCATCCCGATCATTCGCATCCCTCGGCGGCGCCGGTGCCGGTGCCCCTGCCCCCGACAACCTCTGCGACCCCGTCCTCCCATACCCCCCTCCGCCACCACCCCCCTGTGCCACCCCCCCCAAATTCTGATACCCAAAACTCCCTGGCGGCGGGCTCCCGTATCCATACGCGCGCGGATCATCCCGTGGATCGCGCCCGTCTGCGTGTCTCCCGCCGCTGCCGCTGGGCGGGGGCGGGCGGTCGTCGCGGCGGTAGCTATCAGAGCGGTGGTGGGGACGGTCGCGGTCGTCGCGGCGACGGTCGTCCGGGCGCGGGGGCGGGGGTTTGGTGGCGTAGGGGTGGGGGGGGAGGGGGGGGGGGGACGGGTGCCGGGAGGTTTGGAGTGGAGGATTTGGGCGGCCTAGGGGGCGTTAGTGGGGGTGGGAGGGTCGAGGGGTTGAGCGGGGGGTGAGAGGGGATGGTGGGTGGGATGGTTGGCCATGGTAGGTACTCACTTCTTCCGGCTCCGCGTGCGCGGGAAGCGCATCTGGGTTATATCCTTTGTTATACGCCATCGCTTCGGATTGTTGCACGTCCTTTAGTCAAAAGAGCGTCCCTTCGCTGTGTTCAAGGCTCGGGGGCCGGAAACGACCCTCCTTACATGCACATCCACGTCGGAAGCTCCGATGCGGCTCCGCGTTGACCTACGTCCTACTTAGCCTCCAGAGTGCAGACCGATCTCCGGCTTTGACGCAATAGGCCAGCCTTGCGAGACTGGCGGGCGCTAAAGCGGATGATAAGGCGATGTAGGCGATTGGCAGGGCGAGGAAGGGGGACAGTGCGGTAGGAATGAGGGGTGCGGTAAGGCTTACTTGGGAAGAGGAGGGTGGGAATTTAGGAGAGTTGGAGTCAACAGAGTAGCACTGATTGTGACGATTGATTGCAAGGAGGGTTCGCTTCTGTGGCACTGTTATGGGAGGATGGTGATGAGGACACAAGGCTGCAATGTGGGCTGGGCATCGATCGGGTCATCAGGGTCCTGTGACTACAGTTACCTCCTCGGCGAGCTCAGGGATATCAATCCTGATACTGCCTAGCACGCAATTACTTCACGAGACACAGAGAAGAGTACCATCTTAACATTTTGTAGTTATCCGATATCACACTACCAAGGCCGTCCGAGAAAAAACGCACCAATCTACACAAACTCCGATATCTCGGGCCGCGATTGATTCCCATCGCGTAATACCCGACCATGAATGACCACTTGTCCGTGTCCGTATCCGTGATCAAAGAAAAGGAGCGTGTGGATAGAATAGAGCATAGAACCCATCATTTTCGAACCAGATATTGCGCCAACCGTAAATACCGGAATTATAAAGAGTAAAATCGTCGCCGAAGATGAAACCGTGATGAAACCACCTAACATTTTCCGCTCGAAAGGAAGGAACGAGCAACGATGATCCGAAAACAACAAAGAAGGGTGTGGAGATGAGGGCGGATGCTAGGTAAAGCAGCCCCTCACGTCCGCGTCCTCTTCACATCCCCGGCCTCCCCCTCCTCCCCCTTTCGCTTCCTCTCCCGCTCCGCCTCCCCCTCTTCCCCCCGAAACCCGCCGCCCCCTTGTCCCACCGGGGTCGGGAACGCCAACGGGCTCGGCAACATGTTCGGCTCTCGCCCGAACCCCCACTCGGGATAGAAGCTCGACGGCGACGGCAGCAGCTGATCGGAGACGAACCGGCTCGGCAGCGCGGAGATAGGGGTCTCCATGTCGCTGCCAGCGCGGTAGGCGGCGGGGTTGCCGTTGTTGTTGTTGTTGTTGTTGTTGTTGTTATTGGCGGTGGAGTTGGGTGGGGGCGGACGTGCGAAGGGGTTAGGCGGCCCGGCGGCGCCAGCGCTGAGGAGGGCGCTAGCAGAGGGGGAGGGCGGGGGGAGGACGACGCCGGATTCGCCGGGTCCGCGGACGGGAGTGCGGAGGGCGGTGGTAGGGTCCTTGGGGGAGGCGGAGGAGCCTGGGTCGCTGTCGGAGTGTTCGGAAGGGATCTCGACGCGAAGGCGGGGGCGCTTGAGGTCGGTTTGGAGGCTGTTGGTGCGGCTGGAGGGGTTGAGGGTGGGGACAGAAGTGATGGAGCTGGTGCGGGGAGGGGGTGCGCTGGAGAGGTCGCGGTTGATGGAGGAGACGTCGATGGAGGTGGAGCGGCCGTCGGGTTTGGCGCCGGGGTCGTGGCGGGAGGGCTCGCCCCAGTGTTGCGCTAGTAAGGACCGCTTGTCGTCGATGGGGGTGAAGATGCTGTTTCGTGCGGACGAAGGAAGCGGTTTCGGCTGCGGCATCGGGGGGCTTTGGAAGTTTTGCTGCTCGGGTTGCGGTGAACGGTGCGGTGGCGGTTGGGGAGGTTGGAGTCGTTGCTGCGACTGCGGCGGGCCCTGTCGTTGATCTTGCGCGGGTACGGATGCTGGCATCGATTGTCGTCGATGTTCCTGTGCAATCGCCTGTTGGAGATGGGGATTCGGTGGAGGGTAGGTCTGTTGATACTGCGGGGGGTAGGAAACTCCATGTTGAGGCGGCGGTCCGCTTGGTGGTCGGACCGGCATGCCTGCCGCGGCTGCCGCTTGGGGGTTGTAAATGGGCGGATTGGGCATATATGCATAGCTCTGCTGAGGAGGAGGTCCGGACGCTTGAGCATGGGGTGGAGCTAGATTTGAGCTGGTCCTTCGGACGTGTGTCCTCGACCCGGGTCTTGACGTTGGCGGTTGAGGGGACGGTCCACGGAAACCCATACCGTTGTGCATCGGCGGCGACTGTGACGGTGCGTGGTGTTGATTGATATGTTGGAAAGCCGGTGCTTGGAGATGATGGCGCATCATGGGATGGTCGGGAGGAGTATGCGAATCCCGGATTGATGGAGGACCTTCGTCGTCTTCTTCTTCGTCGTCCATGTCCTTCTTTCCCATGAAATCTTCCGGTCCCTTGTGCTCGTGAGCACCGCCGAACTACGCGCGATCAGTTACGTCCCGATCATGTTATTCTTGCCACATACTTGCGAGCGAACATATTGGTATCTTCCCAACGTCTCGTTGATGTCGCCGGATGAAAATTCATAGAGCTTCTTGTTGTGGCCAAAGATGATGACTGCGACGTCGACGGAGCATAATACGGACAGTTCGTGTGCCTTTTTGAATAACCCGCCTTTTCGTTTCAAGAACGTCCTACAGGTACATCCGTTAGATATTGTCCGATGGAGGTATACATCTAACCGCGCGGAGGGGCAGACTTACACAGAGCGATTCCGATCATCCTTGATCGCCTTGATCTCGATTTTCCGTCTACCCATGGCTCGTCGTGGTCATACGCATGCAAACAGGGTCGAGTTCGACGGGGACAAGCGCGCAACGGACAGCCAACGCGATGAAGAACCGTTGGCCGAATGCGCTGTCGCCAAAATGCAGAAGTGAATGACGAGAAGCAATCCGCTGACCCACTTGGATGGCAGATGATGGGAATTGGAATGGAGAATGAGTGGTGAAAAGCGGCAGAAGGAGAACGGACAACGGTCGCAAGCAAGGCACGGGTGGTGAGGCTCTGCAGGGCACGCAGTTCACGACTTCACGACTGACAACTAAGTTAACTGGGAGTGGGATGGCGGGTGTGTCGTCAAGCGTCAAGGGCTGGTTGAAGGGTGGAATTGTTGATGCTAAAGATAGCAAAGGATGAACGCCTTCGACCTGCAGGCTGGGAGACGGACAGACGGACAGATGACGGGAAGACTGAGACCAGAGTTGGACAATGCCATTTGGGGGGAGGGGGGGAGCCAAATAGCCAGTTGCTGTAGCTAGTGAATCATTAGTCAATCAATCACGGACGCCACTGCACTGTGCACATGGACCACTAGTCGAAATACAGCTTGGTATCGTATGGCTGTGAGTTTCAGGTTCAATCACGTGAATATGCCTAAAATAAACACTCAAATAATATATGCTTGACTCTTGAGTGCTTGACTTAGGTTCATTAGTCACCATTGGTTCATTCCCTAGTACTACTTACTAATGGGTTTGTTATGTTGGAATTATTGACCGGAATCCAATTTTACACCTTCTGTGCAACTTACATGTATTGTTGTCCTCATAGAGTAAATACCAACCATAGTCTAATGTCGCACGTGATGTGCTAAAATGGTTGGGAGTTAGGTGCTGTTGTTACAGCAGCGAAGTTGTTGTATTGTGTAAGTTGTGTGTAAGCTGTGTGTTCTAGCTGAATGCCTAGTCCCCCGGCGCTACAGATATACGAGAATCACGGCAAGATGGTTAATGCAGTTTGCAGCCTTGGACTCCTAGAGCTCATGCCTTGGCCTGCGACATCTAATTACCTAGGAGGTATTAGGCATTAATGAATATGGATGATAATTACCTAGTTCAATGTGTATGCCGCTATTACAAGGAGCTGTACAGTTTAGTCAGAACATATAAGTTACAATACAGTATATAAATATTTCGATACATTACACAGCCCCACCAGGCGTGTCGAGAGTAGAGTTCCTTACCAATGGCAACAGTCCATAGTACTAACGCCTCCTGTTTGCTACCTGAGCGCGAGGGGTACGTGACATCGCTGCTCTGAGCACTGAGCAGGTACAGCCGTGATCAGGATAATACCGTATGTACCTTCAATCAAGGGACTGCCAATAGTCTATCTGCTAGTTGATGACTGAGGTGAACAGCGGACGGAGTTGCGGTGAGGTACGTAAGAGATACCTTATGCGAACCAGTACAGGATACCTCGATTTGGAATCAGGCACTTCGAAAAGCTATCATAGGAACTGGGAACATGAACTTCCCGATTAGCACTGAGCGGTCTGTCCATCTTCCTCCTCCAAAAACATTCCAGTCGTTAGTTAGAGTGATGGTTCAGGATCGATTGGCTTTCAGATATATACCATCATGACCGGACATCACCGTGCTGATTTGCTCGCTTCGCGGCCTGTTCCTGCTTCTGCCTAGTCCTTAATATATTACATATTAGAGTCCAGGTCGAATAGGAATATGCGGGGGATCGGTCTCCGACGAGGGCAATCTGTGCGAAGTGAAGTGAGGCTGGAGATGAGAAGACCTGGCTGTCGCGTATCTACCAGACGATCGTGGCTATGCCAGGCTTATGCATATCCATCCTCAAGCCGTTCAGGGGATCTTCCGGAACCAACCGCCAACTGCCAACGCCTTCAAATCGAAGGTGTAGGGTGTTTCAGAATTTAGCGCGGCGGCCAATGACGGGGGGTGATGCTGTGCTGCTGGATGAGATCGGCGGGTCCGGGATCTGATTCGCTGGTCGTGGTGAGGATGCCCGGCGTTGCTGAACTGGCTGATGTCGCTTTGGGGAATCAGATAACTGTTGATAGGATATCAATTGGTGGAGACAAGTTCAGATACGGTGTGGCGAGGTGGAATGCCTTATACGCCGCATTCCTACATGTCGGCTGACGGTTGTTCGTGTTTTGGGATCAGTTTGGGCGATGGTCGAAATCATTTTGATACTGCCAAAGAAAATGAATCTCCAGATGACTTGATCACGTAGTAGCGTGGCACCAGCCGCAAGACCAGCACGTCGATCAGAAACAGCCCCAACCAACCCACCGTCTATTCTTGGACAGCAAACTACTTCCTCAGTCCTCACCTCCCTACTCCTTCCGCGCATCATGTCCCCAATTCTTCAACGACCGACACGCCCGACTCCCCTCATCCCGCTTCGCCGCCCCCTCCTGCGCCAAATGCCGCTTGTTATACGCCACGACCTTCCGCATATGATCGATGTCCTCATCGCCGTACTGCGCCGGGTCTTTGGTCGGGTTCTTCTCGAGGATTGAGAGTATTTTCCGGCCGCTAGGAGCGGTTAGCGGGGCGGTTAGGCGTGGAAGGTGTGGGAGGGGGGATAGGTGCCGTACCTCTCGTGGCCGATGGTCTCGCCAGAGTTGTCGGATTTGGAGTAGCCGGCGTCGGTAGATTCGGGTTGCTTGAGCCAGGTTTGGAGCTCGGGGGCTGTCATGTTGACGAGCTCGTTGAACTCTCTGGGGAGGTGTTAGTTGGGGTCGTTGGTAAGTGGGGGTTGAGTACTTGATAACCGTGTCGGCGTCTTTGACCATTTTAGAGGACCAGCGGAGGGAATGGTGATGGAGATGGTTTGTTTGGGATGTGATATTAGCTCTTCCAGACACGGGTCGAAATTGAAATCTCTTTCCGACAGCAAAAGAAGACCACATGAGCAAGTCGACATTCAACAAAAGGTGGTTATATTTATGGCTTCACGATTCGGTTAGTATGACATCACCAATCTTGTCGAGTGAAACGGGGTACGCTTCGCACGACGACGAGGTCGATCCCCTCATCTTGAAGGGTCTGGTCCTCTCGAATCCAATGGTATGGTCGCGCATCAGATTTACGCAGTTTGGATGTCGAGCACTCACATCCAGTGCTAGCGTGGATGCTTCGACGCGGAGCCGATTGAAAGCGAAGAGGCATGGGCAATATGAAGCGATCAGTGCGCAGGCCGATGTTCAACTTGCCAGGCAATGGCAGGATCCTAAGAATTTACGATGACATGGAAACACAATTCGACAACTATGAGGAGATTTGGAACCAGAAAAACAGTAAATGAGTATTATGGAGAGGTTGATACCTGGATATCAAGGGGATGTTGGTACTATGCCTAGTCCCTGCAACCGCTCGCATAGATCCAGGCCCGGTGTCAGAGCGGATTAATATGTACCATTGTTATTGTCTCCAAGGGGTAATAACACCAGCTTCGGTTGAGGATGAAAATAGACAAATGATGCTGTGAGACCGTAAGGAGGCTCACATGTGGTGTCATACCATCCCCAGACCGCATTGAGCTCGAGCAGCCGCTGCAGGATGCCCATCTACGTTAGCGAGGGGCTCTTCGTGGTCCTGAGGGGAATGTGATACCAAAATCGAAATCCAGGCCGCCATGTTGTGGAACGTCTGGGGGGATAACCGAGGAAGTAATTGTTGGATGGGACTCCATTGAAACCATTACCAAAATCCCAATGGTATTTACTATGTAATTACCAGGAGTTCAGCAGTCCAGGAGGTTCCTTGCAAAGCTGCTTGGTAGGGGACAGGAGCTTTTGTAGGGCGAGATTGGATGTTCTGGTGGGGAGAACGCTATCACGCATTGGGAAATCTGGTGATGGGGCGTTCCGCTATCTGCAGTAGAGGAGGAGCAATTACTGGAGTTCGTATCCCCTGAGATGGCTAAGGATTGATATTGGGTTCTTGCAGAAGCTGGAGAAAAGCACTCCAGCGAACAACAACAAAGCGCCCCTATGAGATGGATCGGAGTCTCGGTCGAGTGGAAAGGAGAACCCTTATGGCTTAACAGCGAATATAAGTCGTCGACGTGGCTCCGAAGCCGTGTTCTAGCCTCTAGGACCTTCCACCGCTTCGGAGAGTTCTTGTGCCAGTTCTCTGCGAATGGACATAGTAGAGGTCTCAACGTAACCGCATGGAGTGCATATCACGCAGAAAATAGCAGTATTTGATATTTCATAGGCGGACGAGGAAGTGGTGGACGGCGGCGATGAGTTGGCTCGAGGAAGACGATCAGAACCGAATTGAAACCAGGCTAGCCCAAATTAATGGTCAGTCCTTAACAATCCCTTCTTATTAGCATCCTTTTGTTGGCATCCTTACTGGTTCCTGGAAAATGCTCCAGACTCAGGAGGTCCAACATCCTCGATTTCATTCACTCCCTTATGAAATTCATCTGACATTTCCGCAATCACACTCCTTCATTTGCCTTCGATTCTTGCGACCGTTTGCCTGGCACCGAATAGGCTCCATCTACTCCATTTCTGCCTGTGAATCTGCGCACCGTTGCCTTCATTGATTGGCATTCTCTTCCCCTTGACGTGTCGACCGCGTTTCCCCCTGCTTCGCTCCCCCAACCGCATCAATTTCTTGTCACTTGAACCCGTTCACTTTCGATTTCCACCACTTCTAATTAAACTCTTGCTTTTGATTTTCCATGCAACCGAGCACGGTCGTCATCTTGCGCCAGAACTTTACTTAGACGTCCTCACACTTCCCTCGCCATCGTTCCTGCTGCACCGCACCGTGCTACTGTCTCGCTGGGAGAAGGCAACATCCCCGGCCTCGAACTCCCCCGACCCATCTCGACGCCATGTCCTTCTTCTCCCGCGTGTTTAGGAGCAAGGGCGCTGCCTCGAAGAAGAATGCCCTCCCGCAGAATGACCCCGTCTCCAAGCCCAAACCGCGTTGGGAAGATGCGTGGTCGAGAACCGAGTTGGCCTCGGAGGAGGTCCGCGAGCTTATCCACGAGTGTACTCACGAGATGAAATCAAGGGGTATGGCTTCCACCTGTCCGACGCATCCTGGCGCATTGTTTCATGGAATTTTTTCGGTCGACTAATCGGATGTTTATAGCCCTCGACACCCCCTTCGTCATGCTTCCCTTCCGTCCCGACAGCGACACCAGCTCCGCGAAGAGTTTGGTCAGGAACTTCTTCAAGGCACAGTACGAGGAGAGCGGACTATATACCGGCACGCATCTGCAGCAGGAGCTGCGCCTGACGGAGCCAATGGTGAGTTATGGCTCGCTGATACCTAAGAAAAGTCCTGACTTGTCTAGGTCCTCTGCAGTGTCCTCAAATGGTGCTGGAGCCGACTCGCTGGCGGCCTTGTCACTTGGGACGCTTATGAGGTTTTCAAGATTGGCGAACAAGGTGAGTTTAGTGAGATATACCCGGAATTCAAGCGTTGACACCCGATAGACTCGAACATGGCCCGCAACGCCTTCGACACCTTCATCCCCCTGAGCGTCGATTCCGATGCTCGGAAACAAATCATCTTTGATTTCTTCGACCTCCTCGCTGCAGTGGCTGCCAGAAGCAAAACTAATGGATTGGGTGGACGCAAATTATCGCGCATGGCCGGATGGTGGGCCTTTGAACATACGGACCAGGGGAATGGTTTCGATGGAGGATACAAGTCCTGGACAAAGTATGGAATCCCTTGTCGTTCTGGGCGATATGATGCTAACGGATCAAAAGTGCCGCCGACGCCTGCAGTCATCTGTTCTTTGCCTACCTTCGATCGCTCTCCCCAGACTCCGTAGGGGGCATCAGCGGGATCTCTGCAATTCCCAGATCACTACAAGCTCTGCTTTCACAGACCGAATATCCACCCGAGACACCGACCCTTCTTCAGACCACCACTTCGAAGGTGGTGATGATCGTCGACGCCGTGTCACCGACCCCCTTTGCTCTGCTCCGAAGATCCAAGAATTTCGAATATCGCGATGACGATGAGGCCCTGCAGACGTTCTCGGCTTACGAAGACCCGGTCAAAGCCCTCACCGATGAATGTTGTCGTGTGTTGAACGCCATCTCACATACCAATGAATCGAAGTCGACCGCAGTCAATCCCAAAGCCGAGGGGGCGAGTGACCCGTCGTGGTCCCGATTTGAAGACCTCGGCTTCAATACCGGCGCAGGCACGGGCGCGGACGGATTTGTAAACAAGGCGAATGGCAACTCCTCGGGCGCTGGCGATCTGGCTGGATTTTCGGCAGGTCTGCGTGGAACTCCGCAGTCTCACACGGCGTTTGGGCGGCCGACCACGCCTTCCTGGGCGGACTTCTTGTCTACCGGGTTCGTTGACGACAAGAAATCCGGTCCATCCTCTCTGCTGCTTCCCCCGGACAAAGTGCTTCCACCCATCGGTGAGCAGCGTGGACATAGTTCTCAGTCGCATGTTCGCCATTTTCAACCGGAGGGCAACCTTGAACCGGGCGAGCTGGCGAGCATCACGCAGTTCGACCTCGACGACACCTTCTGGTGGGTGTGGATCACCAGCCTGGCTGGCGAAGAGCCCGCTCAACGAAAAGCCGTCTTCGGCCGCTGCGCGCTCATCGAGACGGACATCTCCGGCGCTCGATGGCTGCTCATCGAAGAGCAAGTGAAGGGTGCCTCGCCGGGCCCGGAAGAAGGCGCATACATCGCTGAGAAGAAAAGCCGATTCAGCTTCTCCCGACGCGGACGACTGGCGCGCAAGAAGTCCAAGAACCAGCCGCCCACGATCAAGGAGCCGTACAACCGTGCCGCGTCGAGCACGCCGATGAAGAGCTCCATCGGACCGGACCAGCAAGCCAAGATCCAAGCCGCGGCCGCCGCACTAGCGAAGAAAGACCGCGACCGCCAAGCCGAGAAATCGAACGGGCGTCGGTCCCGAAACGACGACGACGTGTCGCAGAAGACGAACAGCGTCCTGACCCTACAACCAGTGATCATGAGCGAGGCTGCCCCCGCGATGAAATGGGCGAAAGAGTTCGACCGCGGCGCGATCAAGTCCGCGTACTTGAGCGACCCGAACGCCGGTCGCGGCTCCAGGGAGAATCTCGGTGGGAGCTGGGTCGACTTGGGGGCGTCGAACGGGTCCTTGTCGCCCCCCATTCCGCGGAAGGCGTCCAACCGTGAGCTGCCTGCGCTCCCGAGAGAAGCTACGCCGGTGCGATCGCCATCTCCACCGCCTTTACCCGCGACGCCTCCAGTGGAGACGCCGACGCGTACCGCCGCTGTTCAGGAAGCCGCGGGCGTTCCGCTTCCGTCGCTTGAAAAGAAGGAGTCTGCGTCTGAGGAGCGCGATCACGCGGCCTGGAGAAAAGGCTCCTCCAGCCCGGAATCCGTCAAAGGCGGCAAAGAGCCGAAGAAGCTCCAGAAGCAGTCCGGTGGCAGCGGGTTCAAGCGGATCTTCAGTCGCAAGAACAAGGCCGATGGCCCGTCGACCAAGGACGACTCCGCGCCGCCTGCCGAACCCCAACGCAAGGTCATCTCCGCGCCGATCATCGAATACAACGAGCCGGATGAACCCTCGCCCCCGACTACCAAGCCGGACCATGTCTTCGCCCCGACGCAGCCCTCGCACCCTTCCCACACCTACGTCGACCCCGCCCCCCGCCCGCAGCAAACCTCCCGCATCGGCACCAGCGAGCAGGAAGAAGCTGACGCCGAGTTCTCCCGCTTCGACCAAGGCCCGCTCGCCGACGTCCCCGCCTACGTCCCGGACTCCGCCTCCGACCACTCCGTCCGCGCCCCCTCCCCCGACCCCCAGCCCGCCTACCGCCACGAATCCCCTCCGCCGGTCCCGCAGCCAGCCCACGCACAGCCCACCCGCGAAGCCCCCGCCGTCCCGCTCACCCGCCCCGTCCGCAAACCCTCTCCCGAACCCACCCCAGAGCCCGCCGCCGCCGCCGCATCAGCACCACCACCGCAGCAACCCACCTCCGAAGCCAAGCCGATCCCGGTCGGCGACCGATGGGCGCAGATCCGCAAGAACGCGCAGGAGCGGGCGGCGCGAATGAGCGAGGAGCAGACGACGGGGCGAAGTCGCAGCCAGAGCGACGATAAGACGGAGGAGGGAGACACGAGCGGGGAGGAGACGATCGAGTCACGGGTGGCGCGGATTAAGGCGCGGGTGGCGGAGTTGACGGGGAATATGGACGCGTCGGGGAATATCACGACGGCTGGAGGCGGGGCGAAGCGGTAGATGGAGGTGAGTGAGCTTGGCTCTGTTTATGGTTTGGGAAGGAGTTTGAGGACTAACGAAATTACAGGATGAGATGGTCGGTCGGCTATGATTATTGGTCTCCCCCATACTTTTCCATCGACGTCACCGCCGAACGTTCCATGAGTTTCCTTCTTTTCCCGGTACAAAATGTTACGGATGGACCCCCAGGCTTTCCAGTCGCCGTTGTTTACGCTCTCAATGACCCCGTCGTTCGCTTCAGTTCACCTTCTCATTCCCCCTTTGTTTCGACCATCCGCGGCGGGCTTCACTTGCTGTTCGCCATTCCTCGCTGTCCCTGCCTGTACTTCTTATCCCGTTCTTTTTTCTCCCCTTCAGCGCTGAAGATACCAGATTGTATTTTGCTTCGGATCTTTCGAGATCGGCTTTTTTCTCCACGCGGTCCCGCAACCGTCGACCAACTGCGGCCGTTGCATGCGGAAGGGCGGTGGCGAGGGTGCGGTCCATGGATTTTGTTAATTAATTACAAAGATACCGGTTCGGTTCGTGGTTCGCGTCGGCTGGAGTGCTCATGCTTCACGGTGTTGCTCTGGCCGGAGGGGTGTTCAGTAGGTAGTTAATGGAGTAGATCCTTCCACTTAGTTCACATTGAAAAATACGAATTCCCAATATCCAACACGACAATCCCATGAACCCATGCTCCATTCGCCGTCCCTGCTTTTCCATCCGCCTCGTTCACCCCACGTCCACAAACGCCCGCTTCCTCCTCCCCTTACTCTCATCCGCTGCCTCTACATCCTCAATCCGCCGCTCCCCCTTTTCCCTCACCCTCTCCGCCACAAACCCCAACGCCGCCCGATTAAATCCCATCACATCCTTCGCGATCCCCAACGTCCGCCCCAAATCCCCCCGCATCGCCTCCAACATCCCCTTCAGCTCCCGACTCGCCACCACCTGCCGCTGATGCGTCCGCAGCATGAAGAACAGCACCCGGCAAGCTATCCCCGTCGCCCACTGCCGCCGCAGCCAGATCCCCACGAACGTGAACAAAGGCCCCACCGTCGCGAACGGGAGCACGAGTAGCGCGTCCTGCAGCTGCGCTGCCGGGATCCGCATGATCGTGTTCAGCACGTGCTTCTCCGCCGAGATTTGGTTCAGCGCGAGGAACAGTGGGTCGCGCGCCGGCGGCGCGAGCTTCGGGTTCGTGGCCTTCTGCGCCGTCCATTCGTTCACCAGCTGCAGGTCCGCGTACCCCAATTCGAGCGCCTCCGCGATGCGCTCGCCGGCGGTGAGCGTCGCGACGGTCTGTTTGGACGCAGCCGCGACCTCGGATTTGTCGCCAGCGTCACCGTCGACGTCGTCGGCGAGGTTGGCCTCGAGGGTGGATTCATAGAGGTCCTCGAGTTCCTTCTCGCGCTCTTCCTCGAGGAAGATGGGTTCGTCGGACTGGGACCAGATGCGGAGGCTCTTGTCGTGGGAGGCGGTGACGAGGAAGTCGCCGGTGCGGCTGACGGCCATGGCCCAGATCTCGCCGGCGTGGCCGTCGAGTTTCTGGACGTGCTCGAACTTGTCACCGTCCCATGTTTTGATCAGGCGGTCCTTGCTGGCGCTAAAGAAGAAGTGGGCGTCTTCCTTGGAGACCGGGTGCGGGATGAAGGCGACGTTCAGGATGCTGTCGTTGTGCGCGAAGAAGGCCTTGTGGCAGTCGCCGAAGTCGAGGCCCCAGAGGCGGACGTTCTTGTCAGCGCTGCAGGTGGCGATGATCTTGCTATCGGAGGAGATGGACATATTGAGGACGGGGAGCTTGTGGCCGTAGAGGGTGAGGAAGAGCTTGAGGGAATCGACGAAGAAGACTTTGACGGTGTTGTCCAGCGTCGCGACAGCCAGTAACCGGGCATCGGGTGTGAAGCGGACGCTCAGAACGTCATCGTTGACCTTCAGCGTTCGTTTGTGGACTAATTTAAGGCGCGGCGTCGTGCGTCGAGTGCCGGGGATCTCCTCCTGCACGATTTCAAAGTTCCAGAATTTGGCGGTTTTATCGGCACCCCCGGTGACCAGTGACCGTCCATCTGGGTGCACCTGCAACGTCCAGACCGCGTTTTCATGGCCCTGGAATCTCTCAATCAGGGTCGCCGTGGCGATGTCGAAGAGCTCCAGTTCGCCGGATTTCGTCCCCACCACCACAATCTTGTCGCCAGGAAGGAACGCGGCGCAAAGCGCGTATCCGCACTCGAGCGTCCGCAGACAATTTCGCGTCTGGACATTCCAAATCTTCAGTCCACCATTCGACGCCGATGCGAGCATGCGATCGTCCGAGCTTAATGTCAGCGCGCGCACATCTGCGCGATGACCCGGCAGATCCACGGAATGCGTGCGATCGTAATTCGGCTCGTCTTCCGTCTTGCCTTTTTTTGATTTCTCCTTCGTGGATATTGAGAACGTTTCCACTAGGTTATTTCGGGTGGCAACGGCTAGTTGGATGGCGTTCGAAGAGCGGACGTTCATCCAGTCGCATGATCGAACTTTGCCGGACGGCCGGACGATGACATGCAGAACAAATAGATCGGTCAATTGGGCGGTGGCCACATCTTTCAAGGCATCTTCCTCTTTTCCTTCGACCAGAGCCTTCTCCCGAGCTCGCCGTCTCTTCCTCGCCAGCACCTTGATCACCTCTTCTTCGGACCTCATCCTCCATATCTCGACTGCCTTCTCCGAGCCGTGGATGGCGATATAGTTCGACCGAGGATGGAAGCTCACACCGACGGCGCGGTCCTTCTCGTACCGTCTCAAGGTACCTCGATCATGGATGAAACTCTTCCCGGTCGAGTCTTGGACATTTCGTGACGCTTCTCGGAGCCCGGCTTGATCGATCAACCAGACTTTGAGTTCGCCTTCACTCCCCGCGGTGATGCATGCGTTGCCGTCCGCTGATAGTCCCATAGCGGAACATCCTCCATTCGATTGTGAGACATGAGTCTCGATGCAGTGTTGAGAAGAGAGGTCCCATAGCTTGATCAGCGCGTCCTTGCTGGCAGATAATATGTACCCGCCAGTCGCATCGTCATTGAGTGCAGCCTGGTCCTCCTCTTCGTCTGCAGAAGCTTTCGGGATAATGAAATGCAATGAGACGACTTGGTCCTTATGACCTCGCAACTTGAAAGCCCCGGTTTCAGCCACCAGATCCCAAATTATAATATCAGTATCTTTGGAACCACTCGCTAGCCGAACCCCTGACAGATCGAAGGCGAGTGAGGTAACTGCTGATTTATGGCCATTGAATGTGATCAGCTGCGAGCCCATTCTCGAGTCCCATAATCGTATACTGCCATCGTCGTACCTGCACTAGTCAATACTCTTCAATGTTGCGATCGAGTCGGAGTACTCACCCCACAGCGAATATATCTTTATCCGTTTTGCTCTGCGCAATCACCGTAACCTCGCTCTTGCATCCGCTATCATGCCATCTGGAAATCAGATCGCCTTTCTTCAAGTCCCAGCAAAGAACATCTTCATTCGCCCCCACGAAGGTGAGGCCCGTACTCGTCTGCAACCCATTGCGGTTCTGCGCCGACTCGTCCGCACTCCAGACGATGTTCGACGAGCCGGAGGTGACTACGCCGAAGGCATTGGATTGCTCATACTTCGTATAGGATTTCACCATGGTCGGATATTTACACGCGGATGAAAATAATCGGGTTGTCGCAGCGCATAATAATTTTGATATGGATCTTGACATGACAGGGGTGCTACTCACGTCGAAATCTTGGCGCCCCACAATCTGCACAGCCACTCAGGCATTTAGGCCACAAGGCACTAAGAATTGTTGCTGTTGTCCGACGTATGGTTCTCCTTCCGTTCCATCAACCCCTCTACACAGTACAGTTGAAACTACCTCTACATAACGCCGCATTCTCTACTCAGGACAAGGTGGTCTAGCAATAATTCCGACACCATGCTCCTCCTAGACTATCAAAATGTCCTGATTGAGTCTCTACTCAAGGACCGCTTCAGCGGGTCGGTATCCACGATCCCCAGATGACCTCGTAGTCCGCCTAACGCCATGCCAGTGCCGCTCCCACTTCGATCGATCAAGTGGTCTCCGACTTCGACAATGTCACTTTCCACATCTCGACCCAGGAATCGAAGTCGAAGATCCTCATTTCCATATCAATAAAGTGCTTCCAGGACCTGGTTCGGTATGGGGCTCAACAGGTACTGGAGCGGGAATATGGCCCGTATATTGTCGCCCCGGAGTCGGGTTATGATTTCTCGGTCCAAGTGGATTTAGACAACCTCCCCGCTGATCAAGGTTCGATTACCCTAGTCGTATATCTGGCGAGATGTCGAGCTAATAGAGCACGCCGCAGAGTCGCGAGATGACCTCATTCGGCGACTATCATTGATGAAGCGGAACGCCATGGCAGCACCGTTCGAGCAAGCATTCGATGAATACGCGCAATTGCACGAAGAAGCGTCAAAATTCACCTCCGAATCGGCTCCGCAGGGCATTCAAGAAGGAGGAGAAATCCGCGCCATCCACTACCGGGAGGAAGAAGCCATCTACATCCAGGCCAGCCATGACCGGGTGACCGTCATATTCAGTACTGTTTTCCGGGAGGAGACAGATCGGGTGTTTGGCAAAGTGTTCCTCCAGGTGGGTACTCCGAATGCAATCATGTACGTATGCTAACAGTTTCAGGAATTCGTGGATGCGAGACGGCGAGCGATACAAAATGCGCCTCAGGTCCTCTTCAGGCACGACCCTCCACTCGAGCTCCAGAATGTTCCCGGTTTTAGGCATCCTGATACTGGCGAGGTTGGGTACATCACGTTTGGTAAATATCCCCTAACCTGTCTCCTCACTGTAGCTAACCGACCCCAGTTCTCTTCCCACGACATCTGACCAAGCAACGACGAGAAGAGGTCATTTCTCACATCCAAACCTTCCGTGACTACTTCCACTACCACATCAAAGCATCAAAAGCCTACATCCACTCGCGGATGAGAAGAAGAACGGCCGACTTCCTTCAAGGTATGCTCTCATTGTCCGCTTATACACACGAAGCTAACAAATCTCAGTGCTTCGCCGCGCTCGACCGGAGAACGAAGAGAAGGAACGCAAGACGGCCAGTGGCCGTACCTTCAGGGTACAAGGATAAATATTGGCTTTAACGCCTTTCCAGCGCTATAAAGCGACTTGCCAACGCCTTCAATGCAGCATTTATGAACCATCAAACAGAGGGTCTCCATGTCAATCCAAAACCCCCGCCGCCCGTGCGTGATCGAGTAGCTGCCTTCTTTCCTTCCTCTTCTCCTCGAGTGCAACCGGAGTAGGGTTTGCCGTCTTTAACCACACTCCATTGAACGCATTGATAAGCCAGTTATTCAGCTCTGTGTCCGTCAGTATCATGCAACCCCTATCCTCTCAGGAAATGAGTACTCACTATCGTATACAATCCGATTCGCATTATGGAAGTAAATCCCATGATTCGAATCCGGAAACATATGCATATCATAATTCTCCACCCCCCTCAAATCCAACCGATCCAGCAGCGTCAACGTGCTCTGCATGTGCACATTATCGTCCGCCACGCCATGCATGATCAAAAACCGCACATTTCTCCCTAGCCGATCGACGTCCGCGACGGTCGCGTTCATGTACCCTCCCGGATTGTGCTGTGGCGTGTGCATGTACCGCTCGGTATAGATACTATCATAATACCGCCAGTCCGTCACCGGCGCCACCGCCATCCCGTACTTAAACGTCTCTCCCGCGTCGCGCTCCAGCGTCTTGAGCGCCATGAACCCGCCGTACGACCATCCCCAGATCGCCATCTTCTCGGAATCCACGTATTTCTTCTTTGCCCACATCTTCGCCGCAGCGATCTGGTCGAACGACTCGAGATACCCGATATTCCCGCGCGTGGCGCAGCGGACATCGCGGCCGAGGTACCCGGTGCCGCGGCCGTCGAGGGTCACGACGATGTAGCCTAGGTTGGAGGCGACGTAGGATTGGAAGTCGACGTTGAATTTCTTGTCGACGGTCTGCGAGCCGGGGCCTTGGTACATCCAGAAGAGGACAGGGTATTTCTTTTTCTCGTTGAAGTGCGGGGGGCGGCGTTCCAACAGGTTGAGCTCGACGCCGTCGATGGTGATGGTCTGGTAGTTGTAGATGGGCAGCTCGTGCTTCGCGGCGAAGGTGGCGAGCTGTTTGTTTTCTTCGATGGTGGCATCGAACTGCTCGTGGGTGCTCGGCGTGCTGATCACTTTCTGCCACGGGATGCCGGGTCCATCGTAGGAGAGCAGGGCGTATCCGGCACCGGAGGAGAAGGAAACGGAGTAGTATCCGTCTTTGCTCACGTCAGTCAGGGGCTCGAGGCCGGTGCCGTCGAGCTTGACTTTGTAGACGTGGCGTTCGATGGAGCCGTCTTTAGTGGCGACGAAATAGATGAAGTTGTTTTTCAGGTCGATGGCCGACGGGGCCTTGACCACTTCCCATGCTCCTTTGGTCAGCAGGACCGGTTCCGCGCTGTCCACGGGACTGAAATAGCCCAGATGATCGAACCCATCGACGATGACGGTGTCGATGTACCCGTCGTGGTTCCGGCCTCTACGCGGATCACCGGGGATGAACGTCGTCTCTTGCGATACTTCCATCCAGCCGCCATCCAAGGCATTGACATCTTCCGTCCGCACCGTCTTCCCCGTCCGGCGGTCGACGTCCATGAGCACCACTTTCAGCAGGTCGCTCTCCCGGTTGGTTTCGCGGACCAGCACCTTCCCACTGCGCCCCGCCCACACGACCTCGGTGATCAACCGATCGTCGTCGGCGAAGTCATCCGGCACGTCGATGTTGAACACGCGATTCTCAGTGACGCTGAAGAATCGCAGCTGGACCACCGGGTTCGGCGCCCCCGCTTTCGGATACTTGATGTGGCGCACCTCCGGGTAGTTCTCCAGCCCGGGCTCGGGCTGCTCGCCGCTCGGCCGCGAAACGAAGTACTGGATGGGATACGTCGGAACCTGGGACTCGTCGGTGCGGAGGAACGCGATGTATTTGCCATCTTCAGACCACCAGGTCGCGCTGTTGCCGGCGAACACCTCCTCTTCATAGACCCAATCGGGGACGCCGTTGAACGTCTCCGGACCCCCGTCTTCCGTGATCTTATATGCCTCCTGCATCCGAATCGGCCGGATATACAGGTTATTGTCCCTCGTGAACGACACCGCGCGGCTCGTCGGCGCCCACTGCGCCAACTGGATCCGGGCCGTGGGATTCGCCGGATCCAGCGGCTCGCCCGTCTGGCTCGCGACGTCGAAGATCCAATACAGCCCCGTGAAGCTATGCCTCCAATTCTGCTCCCGATCGCTCGCCACCAACACCTTCGTCAAATCCGGACTCGGCCACACCTTCCCGGGCTGCACCCAATGCTCTCCCACGAAAAAACCCCCATTCTTCATCAGCGCGGTCTTAGTCTCATTCCTCCTCCGCACATCCTCCACCACCAAATAATCCCGCCCTCCCGTCCCCCCCTGCTCCAACAACAACCCATCCTCCCCCTCGGCCCCTTCGATCCAGCTAATCTCGTGCCGCCGCGCCCTCCATGTGCCCCCTAGCACCTGGTCCAGCGTGACCTTCTTCCCGATGCGCACGGTCTTCGTCGCCTCGGGGTCGTGCGGGCGGGGGTGCGCCGCGTGGAAGTAGTCGCCGCGGTGGAGGAGCACGGCGAGCGCGACGAGCCAGCCGGCACAGGCGAGGGAGCCGATGAGCCAGAGCCAACGCTTGGAGGAGCGGGAGACGGGGGTGATGGGATATGAGGCGGCGTCTTCGATCTGGAGGGGGGAGGGGAGCTTGTGGTGGTCGTTGGGATCGTCGTCGGTGTAGCGGGCTGGATGGGGGTGTTTGCGAGAAGAGGAGTCGAGGTGGTCGAAGACGAGAGAGGTGGTGGAGATGGTCGAGGTGGAGGGGCGAGGGGAGATGCCGTCGTCGGAGTCCTGCCGTAATGGCTTGGTCTCCTCGAGCTCGTCGTCTCGACCCATGGTTGCGGACTGCGGAGGATGTGGTGTGTAGTGGGCTTCACAACATGCTGTATGGGAGGTATATAGCAAAGCAGATGGAGCGAACGACAAGAACAACGCTTAGATGTTTTATGGATATCCTGCTTTTAATCGTAGTTCGAGATGTGTCTAGTTGTCGGCATGTGGGAATAGATGGCAACAATCAATATACCGAAGACCGGCCAATGGGGAGGGTTCTCTGTTTGGCCTTCCTATTGGTCCCCATTTCCGGGATATTTCATATTCCGCATGAGACATAAATGCATAATACGTACGGAAACTGAAACAATTCATGCACTGAATACAAGGCGTAGAAGAAGATTTGGTCCTCATTTGTTGAATTGTTCAAACGGCTCTTTGATCTCAATAGAGCTAGTGTGAAGCATCCTCTTCCTCCTGAAGCTGCATTTATTGCTTCATCGTAACAACCTCCCTGCCTTGCACTCCTCAAGGGAGGCCTGCTGTCCAGCCTCTCCCAGTATGAACTGAGCATCACAAAGCACTTTTTCGCTTCCGGCTATGTTTCCAACGGTTGGCTTTTCTTCCTTTTCTTCCTGCTTTAAACGTGGGGGTTCCAACCCTCCGAACGTGGGTTTCCTTCGCGCTTGTGCGGGTATCAACTTTGTAGGGTCTTTCCAGCCACTCAAGGTAGAGGTCTAGAGGAAGTTAGCAATGACACGCGCAGTCGAACACATTCCGTCTTACCCAAGATAATCCTAGATCGCATAAGTCAGTTTTACTTCAAACACAGAACATAGGGAGTGCGTACCTCTTTGATCGTCGCGATCGCATACATGGTACCCATCTCCACCCGCAGACCCTTGATCTTGATGCGGATCTTGGTATCCTTCTCGATGATCTGGTCGCCGTTGTCCGTCCACTGCGGCGGCGTGGCGTTGCCGTCGAATTTGATTTCGCCGGGGATCATCTGTCGACGGTCAGCTCCATATCCGGGGCGCCGGGTCCATGTCCACCTACACTCTTCGCGACGAATACACTCAGCGGGCCGACGTTGACGAAGAATCCGCCGTCAACGACCGAGTTCACCACCCCATCTGCGCTTCGTTAACCTTGTTCTCCACGGTTTCGCTCCCAGCCAACATACCGACGATCTCTCCTCTGAATGGCCGCCACACCACCGCCCGGTAATGCACCGTGTACTCCGCGAACCCCGTCCCCGGCATGATCCGCCCCTCCGATACCTCATACCCCGTATCCATGATCAACACCACGTAGAAGTTCCCCATGTTGGCGCCCTCGACGTCCGCGTGCAGGCGGTGGAGGAGGATGTCTTTCACGTGCGGGCCCATGTATGACGGGTGGAGCGTGATCGTGCGCTCCATGTCGTGGATGAAGAACATTGTGAAAGGGGGGAGGACGAATCGTCACGTTCGATAGAGCGAGAGGTCGGGTGGGGTGGAGGAAGAACGCAGGGCACTCCGGCGAGGCGTGCGCCTCGGAAGCGCTCTTCGCGGATCCTGGGAGGAGATAGACGGATGGATATCCTACAACTCCGGGTATCGATGTTGGTGTCTTCGCTTCGGAGCGTATGTCAATAGAGATATCGTCTAAGGTGCTGGGTGTTTACTCGTGGCGGACGCAATGGAGTCGAACGAGGCGGATCCACGCCCACACAAGGGAGGAATTCCTTTCTTCGCGGTCCAAATCGATCAAATGAGTGTAGCAAATAGTAGCGGCCAACGTTCCGTCTCCGAAATGTGTGGATATGGGTGGGCGGATGCGTCGAAAATGTCCAGACACTACCAGTACGCATCCTGCGATGCATGTTCTGCTTGTGCTATCGATGGTGGTTGACAGACATGCGCTCAGGCTACAAGGCCACAAGGCCGAAATCCTTTTCACCCCCAACCGCATGATTCGCGTGCTTGCAAGGGAAAGCGCAAGGGACAGGAAAGTCAGATAAGCTGCCCGTCTCTCCATCTGTCATGTGAATCGAACACCGCGGCTTGTAAGCGTTAAGAGTGCAGACACCGTGGAACCTTCGGCCGGCATCATCCGTATATCACTCGTTCCTTTCTATATCTCAATTCCGCCAAAGTGTTCGGACCCCTCCACAGTTCTATTATGGGCGCGTAGAAACCGCCGTCATTCCTCCAGGGCATTCACTTGTACCTACCAACACTCCCGCGTGGTCGACATCTCCAGCGTGGGCTTGACGGCACCATGGCACTCAATCTGGAGAAACAGCTTCTTTTCGTATGGATGATTGTACCATGATGTTTGGAGATCGTGTTCTAACAGAGCGTAGTATGGTGCTTACCATCATAATCCAGTGAGGCCAACTCGCATTCGATATCCCGTTTCGGGCCTCAGTATTGACTGACGAACAGGTCAATGTCGGAATCCATATCACCTGCGTACCGGCGATCTTGTTGACGGCCTTCCTCTTCGTATGGTATATCTCTATCTCTATCTCAACATGATTCTAACTGGACAGGGCACCAACTCTCCCTCGATTCCCCTACCACCTTACCTTTCTTCCGAAACCTTCCCCCTCAACGCCGGAACCGTCGCCGCCGTTCTATACTCGGGCCTATACATCCTAATGGAACCGGTCGCAGGAAGCCTCCTCGCTCCCCTGCTGCTAGGCGGCACCGCCTACGCCAACCACCTCACCAAAGCCTACGGCATGACCGCGAACTACCTCGCCCTCGGCGTCCACGTCGTCTCCTGGCTCGCCCAGTTCGTCGGCCACGGCGCGTTCGAGGGCCGGGCGCCTGCGCTCCTCGACAACCTCGTGCAGGCGCTCTTCCTGGCGCCGTTCTTCGTGTGGTTCGAGATCCTGTTCTTCTTCGGGTACCGGCCAGAGCTTAAGGCAAGGCTCGAGAAGGCGGTGGAGAAGGAGATCAAGAAGTTTCGGGAGTCGAAGCAGGGGGGGAAGGCGGAGGGGGCGGCGAATGGGACGAAGAACTGAGGCGAGCTGTTGATATGGTGGCTGGTGAGAGGAAGGACTTGAGTTGTGCAAGCGTGCGACACCTTTTGGCGGGGGTTAAGCGGTTGCTACATTTCTATTCCCTATGGCTGATTCTTCTTGGACTTCATAGTACGATTCCAATGTAAATGTAACTGCAAGCCTTTGAAGCGTGGCTCGGGTAGAGAGGGATTCCAGGCACACGTGACGGGAGCGTGGGAGACTGGGCATGCAGTGCCTTCAGGTTCAATTTCCAAATTTAACTAGCAACGAAGATATGAGATTATTTACTTTGTTTCATTCGAATGGAAGGAGTCCTGGATTTAAATTTTAATTAAGTATGCTTCAAAAAGTGAACTGTGAATGTGTATGGCATAACGGCATACCTTCGCGTTGACCCTTAAGGGAACAGTGTTCTGTGCAGCGATAAAAGCACGGAGCTCACCCCCTTAGTCAGCAGCTCATCCGGTGCGACGAAACCTTCAACCCGAGGAAAGACCAGCAAGTACAACCTTTGCTTCCATCTCCAAGCTCCATCTACACCAACCATCACCTCCCTCTTTCTACCCTTTTCATTTCAATTGGTAGCGGAGCCTTCCATCAGAGCTTCTTGAGCACAGTCACCATGTTCAGGAACGCCCTCCGACAGTCGTCTCGCGCCGTCGGTGCTGTCTCTGCCTCTGGCAGGGTTGCTGTAAGTGCCCATCCTTTTCCGTCCCCGATTTCGATCAATTGCATCTCAATTCTCATCATCGTTGCCTTTTACGAGCCATCAATCGTGGATTGAGCTTTGGGATCGATGATGGAATGATGTTGGTCGACTGATGGAAGCTGTTCGCCGTCCGCTGTCGACATCCGATCACTGACAAAAGTTTTGGCGCTGCCACAACAGACCCGATCCGGTCCGGCTGCTCTCAACATCGCATCAAGATCCGCCAACGGCTACGCCACCGATGCCAAAGCCGCCCCGACCGAAGTCTCCTCGATCTTGGAGCAGCGAATCCGTGGCGTTCAGGAGGAAGCTGGCCTTGCCGAGACTGGCCGTGTCCTCTCCGTCGGGTAGGAGATACAACCGCCATTGCTTTTCATCAACGCTAAGACGCGACAGTGACGGTATCGCCCGTGTCCATGGCATGCGCAATGTCCAGGCCGAGGAGTTGGTCGAGTATGTGTTGCCTCGTTCCCTTCGTCGTGATTCTCCGCTGACCCTTCGTTAGGTTCGCTTCCGGTGTCAAGGGCATGTGCATGAACTTGGAAGCCGGCCAAGTCGGTGTGGTGCTTTTCGGTTCCGATCGATTGGTCAAGGAAGGCGAGACCGTCAAGCGTACCGGAGAGATTGTATGTTTGCCGCCATGATGATGGGAAAATTGTGATTAACGTATCCAAAGGTCGATGTCCCCGTTGGTCTGGAACTTCTTGGCCGCGTCGTCGATGCTCTGGGTAACCCCATCGACGGCAAAGGTCCTCTCAACACCTCCGAGAAGCGCCGTGCTCAGCTTAAGGCTCCCGGTATCTTGCCTCGTCACTCCGTCAACCAGCCCGTGCAGACAGGTCTGAAGGCCATCGACGCCATGGTGCCGATCGGTCGTGGACAGCGTGAGTTGATCATCGGTGATCGTCAAACCGGAAAGACTGCCGTCGCTCTCGATGCCATGCTGAACCAGAAGCGATGGAACGACACTTCCGATGAGACCAAGAAGCTGTACTGCGTGTACGTCGCCGTTGGTCAGAAGCGGTCCACCGTTGCCCAGCTCGTCAAGACCCTGGAGGAGAACGATGCCATGAAGTACACCATCATCGTCGCGGCCACCGCTTCCGAAGCCGCTCCTCTGCAGTACATCGCTCCTTTCACCGGTTGCTCCATGGGTGAGTGGTTCCGTGACAACGGCCGCCACGCCGTCATCATCTACGACGATCTGTCCAAGCAGGCCGTCGCGTACCGTCAAATGTCCCTGCTGCTCCGTCGTCCTCCGGGTCGTGAGGCTTACCCCGGCGAGTAAGTTGTCCCGTCACGTCTGATAACACCGTACTGACCATCCTAGCGTTTTCTACCTCCATTCCCGACTTCTGGAGCGTGCTGCCAAGATGAACGATAAGCACGGTGGTGGTTCCCTCACTGCGCTTCCCATCATCGAGACCCAGGGTGGTGACGTGTCTGCCTACATTCCCACCAACGTCATCTCCATCACCGACGGCCAGATCTTCTTGGAAGCCGAGTTGTTCTACAAGGGTATCCGCCCGGCCATCAACGTCGGTCTGTCCGTGTCCCGTGTCGGCTCCGCCGCGCAGCTCAAGGCCATGAAGCAAGTCGCCGGATCGCTGAAGCTCTTCTTGGCCCAGTACCGTGAGGTCGCTGCCTTCGCCCAGTTCGGTTCCGATCTGGATGCGTCGACCAAGCAGACCCTGAGCCGTGGTGAGCGTCTGACCGAGCTCCTCAAGCAGAAGCAGTACTCGCCCATGGCCGTCAACGAGATGGTGCCGCTGATCTACGCCGGTGTCAACGGGCACCTGGACAACGTCCCGGTTGCGAAGATTCTCACGTGGGAGTCCGACTTCATTGCCCACTTGAAGGCCAACGAGTCCGAGCTGCTGTCCCAGATTGAGCGTGAGGGTGCGTTGAGCAAGGAGTTGGAGGGCAAGTTGAAGGATGTCGTCGTCACCTTCACCAAGAGCTTCCTATGAGTGTGAGATTAGGTACGTGCTATATTCCCCAGTTCGTGCTCACCACTAACGGTCCTCAGGAAATGTATAATATGCCTTAACACCTCTCCAAGCAAAGCGCCAGCGTGGACATCGCCGTCAGTCCACGGGAGTGCTCATGGACTGCGGTGCCATTGTCCCAGTTCCCTTTCACCACAATTGTCGATACAGCTCTCCTTTCTTGTTTGGTTGATGGCTGGTGAAGATGCGTAGCTCTCTAGACATGTGTACTAAAATCTGAGTCGTTTTCCTGCTTCCCCCGAGGTGTCCTCTGATACGTGATTCATCGCCAGTGACCGTTTGCTGTTAACGTGATCGAGTTTTTCGTCCGTGGAACAGAGATCGCTTGCTCATACCTACCTTCACTTGTGGCCGTTTCGCATTTATAATCGTTCCTCTGCTGCAAAAGCATGCTAATATGGTTTGGATCCTCACTAACTACGGTTCTCATCGCCACGCCCGAACATGTCCTCTCCTACCCACAATCAACCTGAGCACCCCCCTATCTCGCGCTCTCGCCGACGTACATCCATCATGAAACCTCATCAGCAACCCCCTGCCAACCAACCCCCCGCCCAACCGCACCACCCGACATCCCAACACCCCAACGCCACCCCCCCCTTCGCCACCACCGTCCCTTCGCACGACCGCATCACCGCCCTCGACGCCCGGCAACACCCGGACGAACGCCCGCAGCGGTACGCACACCATCGACAGGTAAAGGTTGCATCGCCGAGGCTGATATCGCCGGGTGACGTCGCGGCAATCCAGGAGTTTTTGCGTCGGTATGATCGGTCGTCGATGCCGGTTGGGGGTGATGGGCGGGAGGGCGACGACGATACCCGAACGGTTCCCTCCGCGCAGCCTCCTCCACCAATCCGCACCCCCAGCCCTCCCGCCTCCGCCTCCTCCCCATCTCCTCCCACCTCCCTCCAAGCCCTCCTCACCACCCAAGCCCACCTCATCCACCACCTACACACCGAAATCGACGAGCTCCGCCACCTCTGCTCTGCGCAGGAGACCGAGATCAATGCCGTGCGCCGGCTCGCAAACGTCGGGAGCGATACGGTGCTGAAGGCGTTGAGGGTGTTAAGGGAGGTGGGGGATTGGGTGAGGTATACGATGGCGGAGAGGAGTTTGGCGGAGGGGGAGATGAGGGGCGCGAGGACGTGGATTGGGGATGAGGATGGGGTGCGGGAGGAGGAGAGGAGCAGGGAGGGGCGGCGGAGGGTGGTGGCGAGGGTTTGGGAGTTTGTGAGGGGAAGGGGGAAGATGGGTAGGTGAGGTGTGAGGTGGGGCTGCTTGTGAGAATGAGGCTGATGTGTGTTTCAGTAGGGGAGAAGTTGAACCGTGGGAATTCTAAACGGTCAATGAATGGATTCGGTCGGCGATCGACGAATACCACATTGGAAAGCCGCATGACGATGGATGACTCGCTCCTGGTGGCAAGCGGCACCAACCGCGATCAGCCGACTCAGAAGGACGCATCCCCTGTTCAAGAGAAAGATGTTCCAAAAGGCTGGGGCGGTCCTCAATCGTTGGGGATCTACACGTATGCTCCCCAACTGCTACCACAATCCATCCCCCGACCCCACTCCTTACCAGGCCTGTCCTACGATCACCGATCCGACTGGCGGAGATCTATAGAGCAGGCGAGAAACCTCCTTCAGAAGCAGGTAGAAGAGATGGCTGCGGCGGCTGAGGAAGGTGAGCGGGCGATCTTGGCGGAGAAAGAAGGAGAGTATAATCGAGGCCTGGATACGCCCGACACGACGGTTCCAGCCCTCGCACCACAGGCGGGACCACACCCGCCCGAAGAGCCAGATATACCCGAGTCGGAGCTCTGCAAATACTGCGACCTCCCTCGCGAAGCCCACGAACCTCCCAAACCCACCACCGCTACCCTCATCAACCCCACCGGCCCTCGAACCCCCAGTGCCCCCCACTCCCTCCCGCACCACCCCACTACCTACCACCCCTCGTACAACTCCATCTCGATCCCCCTCCCCGCTCTCGAGGAACTCGGCAGCATGGTAGATGCAGGGCTCGAGAAGCTGGGGGAGGGGCTCGCCCACGTGCACGCGCTTGCGCGGCAGGATATTGAGTTGCGGGGGGTGACGGAGGGGGTGGCGGGGGAGATTGCGGAGGGACAGGGGAGAAGGCGGTTGTGGCAGCTTACGGAGTGTGGGGCGAGGGGGAAGGGGGAGTGGGTGGTGGAAAGGGAGATGGGAAAGGAGGTGGAGAGGGAGATGGGGCGGAAGGCGTGGGGGAAGGGATTTGGGAAAGGAGGTTTTGAGGAGTTAGTGACGGACCATCGGTGTTGATGTGCGCTCGGGATGGGACATGGAATACCTGTGTATTCCCGTAGCCATGGCAGTGGGAATCCGCCTGGGGAGATGCCATACTATGGCTACTCATGGGATTTCGACTGATCTTAATGCATAATAGGGATCTGAATCAAAGGACTTTGCGGATTGTGATGCCGTCCCCTTGTCTTCTTCAGAGGGCTTTGAGAATGGGCTCGATTTCAACTTGAAAAGATAAACAGGCACAACCTCGTCAGGCAATATGGAAGTTATCCCGCTTGTCTCACCCGTGATACGGGACGCCTTCTGAAGGGCTCAACCACTTGATATGCCCGTGCCTTACCTTAAGCGTAGAGGAGTGGTGGCTAGGAAGAGGAACATCGCGGACGCTGTGGCTGCGATCCGTCAGTCAGCTCCTACCGGGTAACCGACTACAATTGAGCAACTAGAACTTGTCTTTGCTGGTAGGATACATTAACCCTCTTGGACTATACCTTGCTAAAATACAAAAGTGTGTGTGGTTAGAGCGATATGGTACCTTAAGAGTTGGATCCTTGGATGGTGGTCTCGTCCCTTGACGTCACCCATTCTGCGTCATCGAGCGGCTTAAGAACCATCATGACCATCTTTTAAAACCAAAGTTGATACGGTAGAAATAGACTCAAAACAAACCCAATTCCATATTCCAAGTCAATTGCAACCGGCATACCGAATCTGCAATCTCTTAATCTCTCCCGATACCTTATAATCGCAATATCAGATCTCATTGCTGCATATCGGCACTTACTTGCATTTTGAGTCTTTAATCATGGCCACCCAACACCCCCAACCCCCTAAACACACCGCCTACGAAACCCCCTCCAACCCCATATCCAAAACCCCCCCGGAGCGCGCCACCGCCCTCTCCCACTCCCACCACCCCCCACCACACCTCGGCGACCAGCGCATCCCCCGCGCGCAATCCAATCCAGACGCCGCGCACCCCACCCCGCTGGCATGCGGCATCCGCGGCGCGGGCCCGGGCGAAGAAGCGCAGGGGAAGACAGAGGAGGACGTGGGGAGACATCGGGAGCTGGACGGGGAGCAGATGGCGGTGGAGGGGGAGGGGAAGGTGGCGGAGGCGGTGGAGGTGGGAGAGAAGGAGGGGGCCGGGGGGGAGGGGCCGGAGGTGGGGGGGGATTTAGAGAGGTGAGTTGGTTTTGTTGTGTGGAGGGAGGGATGAGGCTGACGGGAATGTAGGAAGAGGGCGGAACAGGCGGTGTTAAGGCGGAAGAGGAGGGAGGAGAGGGAACATGTGGATGTTGGGGGGGTGCTAGGGCAGAGAGGAGGGCCGGCGAGTACGGTTGATTGATGGGGGCTGGTTTGCTGGTTCAGACGTGGATGAAGTGTAACAGCCGAAATGGACTATGGGCTAGTCAAAACACTCTGAATGTTCAGTGTACATACTAATGCGCTATGCAACAGCCTAAAATGCAACGCTAATAATGCAACCATTGCTTCGATAACAATGCGATACCTCACACATGAGGCAAGCCATTCGAACGATCCATGAACGCTGAGGGGCTCATAAAATTCGTGCGAGAATAATCCTGATGACCAAGGAAACGAGTATCCAATCTCGCTCACTTGCCTCGCCGCCTCGCTCCCAGCTCCTCGAGTCTCCTCCGTCTTTCCAATTTCTCCCGCTGGTGCGCCTCCTCTTCTTTCAACGCCTCCTCATCTTCCTTCCTCGCCGCACGGAGTGACCGGAATTCTTCTTCCTCCATCTCGAACGCACCAGCCTCCATGTCGGATAAACCAGAGTCCTCTAGGTCATCCTCCAGGTCAGACTCGGACTCAAAGGTGTAGCCGGCGTAGCGACCCTTCTTCATGCCCGGACCCGCATCAGCTCTCTTGCCTCCCACCCCACGCCGAGGCACGTCTCTGTCCGAGCCTTTCTTCATGCCCATCGTCCCTTTATAATCCGATTCCACCGCCTTCGGCCGCATAGTCCCACTATATCCATAGTCCTTCTTCTCGACCTTAGCCACGCCAGACCCCCGATCTGGCGTGGCGCCCTTCCTCCGGCTATCCGGAACCACCCCCCCCGACTTCTTCCGCTGCTTCGCCTCCGCTTCCAGCGCCAACCGCTCGCGCTTCGAGAGCCGCTCCGCCTGCTTGTGGGTAATCGAGCCGACGGGCTTGCTGGTCGCTTTCATCGCGGCGCCGCGCGCGAGGAGCTGTTGATAGCGGCTGAGCGGCTGGCCGGGGGCGGGTGACATGGGTGGGCGTGGGGGGGAGCTGGAGCCGGCGGAGGTGGCTTTGCTGCCATTTTTGGTAGATGGGATTGTGGGAGGCTTTGTACTTGGTCTCGCAGAGAAGGATGGGGGACCCGGTTCAGCGGTGGACCTCGCAGTCCCTAGATACGGTTGGGTTGCACTCTCGGATCTCTTTGAGATTTTGGCATCGGCGGTGTTTAGCTGGCTTCCGGCTTTGCGTTTTTGTGATGAACCGGTCGTGGTTGCATCGATTTTGAGACCGCTGGAAAGGGATCGTGCCGTTTCGCTTGCACCGGGTTTGGCGGACTTGGAATCGCTGTCAACGGGTGCCTTGGGCTTTCGCCGAGTGGCTCCCTCGCCGAGGAGTTCGGACAGATACTGGCGGCTACAGTTAGCAGGATATATATACCTCTGATAGAGTGACTCACGCTCATTGTGCCCTACGTTCCGGTCGTGTATGTTATGCAAAACTCCAAGCGAGTCCATGGAATGATATGCGGTCACGAGGCATGCAAACGTAGGATCTAGGACGATTCATGAAGGAATAAGGAAGACGGAGTGTGGACGATTCATTACGGACATCCCGAATAAACGCCCCACATAAGAAAATGAAAAATGAGAAGAAAATGGAAGTGTTGGAAGTGGCCGCGGAGGTGATATGTGATAATAGTGGTTGGTCTGATATGATGCGGCGAATGACCCTTGGGCCTTGAGGCTCAACCTGTACTACTCGCTACGGAGGTACGTACGTAGTAAGGCTCCTCAGGCATCCTTGCCCATAATTCGAGACAAAATACGCTAGACCCGGCACGGTTAGTTGGTTCCCTTGGCGCACACATTCACCACCCATTTTTCGAGCAACTTCGACATCCACATCACACGCCAACGATTTCCGATATTTCAAACCCATTAGAACTTTAAGTCTCAGTCTCCGTGTCGCTCACGGTTAAATCGATTGATTCTCTAGTTCTTCTACCAGTTCTCAATCAAGTAAGTCGCTCACTTACCCGGCAATTCCACTGCATTCAAGAACACATTCCATCTAACCGGCGCTCATAGATCTCTCAAAATGAAGCATCTCGCAGCCTACCTCCTCCTCGGCCTCGGTGGCAATGACAGCCCCTCCGCCGACGACATCAAGGCTGTCCTCTCCGCCGTTGGAATTGAAGCCGACGAGGAGCGCCTGAACACCCTGCTCAGCGAGCTTAAGGGCAAGGACCTCAACGAGGTATGTTGATCTACGACGCCCTTCCACTCCGGATAGGATACAGAAGACTAACTATATATCTAGCTCATCGCTGCCGGAACCGAGAAGCTCGCTTCCGTTCCCTCGGCCGGTGCTGCTGCTCCTGCTGCGGGTGGTGCTGCCGCTGGCGGCGCCGCTCCTGCTGAGGCGGCCAAGGAAGAGGAGAAGGAGGAGGATAAGGAGGAGTCCGATGACGATATGGGATTCGGGCTGTTCGACTAAGCGTTGGGTGGATTTGCTTTGCAATGCATTTTCTACGGATCACTGGTGTCATTCCAAAGGGGGCATGGATCAATGGATACAAATGCACTCGGACAAGGAAAAGGACGGCATATCAACTGAGGGATGGGCTGTCAACGGTCAATTGCTCTGCTTGAGCTGCTAATCTTCACATTTTCAATGATGACCTATATCGTACCATCTGCACCGAGAAGCCACAACCGGTTGACCAATTCGAAAATAAAAGGCACATTAGCTTCACATCCATTTCCATGCTCACAAGTGATCGTGTGCGTAAATAATGTCCAAAATTCCGAAATTCTGCGTGTTTGATATCTGTATTGGGTGTTTTCAGTAAGCACCGAGATCGTGCCAAGACCGTCGTTATTCGCTTAATTTTGGTTAGTGGCTCCCACCAAAGTCCACACCTCGCCTTCGCCTCCAACCTCAAACGAACCCACGACACACAACTTCCTTCCACCAGCCCACACACCATCTGCAACCATCGAAGCTACCATCCGGAACCCTTCGATAATCCGCAATCATGGCTGACGCTGAATACGTGAGTCACCCTCGATGTCTTTTGGAGCGAGGAATGCTGACAATCTCCAGAACGCCGAAGAGGCTGCCGGTACGACTCTCACCCATCCGTTTACGTTCTGAAGACCTTCAACCGAGCGACACGCACAACGAATCGCGCCATGACGATGTGTAGAAAACATATAGATGGCTAACAACGAATACAGAGATCAAGAAGAAGAGAACCTTCCGCAAGTTTTCCTACCGTGGAGTCGACCTCGACCAGTACGCCATCCCACCCCCGACAACCCATCAGAGCAATCACTAACCCACCCCCCAGGCTCCTTGACCTCTCCTCCGAGCAACTCCGCGACCTCGTCCATGCGCGCGCCCGCCGCCGATTCAACCGTGGCCTGAAGCGCCGCCCAATGGGCCTCATCAAGAAGCTGCGCACGGCCAAGCAGCAGGCGAAGCCCAACGAGAAGCCCGACGAGGTGCGCACGCACCTGCGGAACATGATCGTGGTGCCGGAGATGATCGGCAGCGTGATCGGAATCTACAGCGGGAAGGAGTTCAATCAGGTGGAGATCAAGCCCGAGATGGTGGGACACTACCTGGGAGAGTTCTCGATCTCATAGTACGTGGTTTCCTTGAAACGAGGTTTTAGAGGGAATATACTGACAAGCGAACAGCAAACCTGTCAAGCACGGAAGACCGGGTATCGGTGCCACCCACTCTTCTCGTTTCATTCCTCTCAAGTAATTGCTGCAAAAATCATGGTTCCAATGGGGTTGCATGGGTGTCACACGTTCATCATCGGATATGGGCAACTGTCTTTGTAGATTCAGAGAAGAAGAATGAATCTGCGTTGAAAGGTCATATTTCATGATTCTGCTGCTCCTTGCGTGCCTGACTTGTGCCATGACGTTGATCGAGTGATTTCATCTTCCTTCGACCCTTCCATATCTGCGTGATCACTTCGCTTTCATTTCGCTTTCACCTCATCCAACCTCTCAGTCGCTCCACGCTCAAGCTTATTTCGAAGCCTCCCAATTGCCGCTCGCTATCCTTGTCACTTCCCCATACACGCTCAGTCCGGTCCTGGCTACCTCAATTCTCAACCAACAAGCCGGCAACGCGGATCCTAAGGACTTTACAAATTACTCGATGCTACCCGTCGAGTTGTCCTCAAACTGGTAGTCCAATGAACTCACTAAACTCACGACGTCTGGACACGACACGTGGTATCGCGACGTGTGCGCATGCAATAACGCGCCGGTCCTTCCAGGAAAGGAAGCAGCAGTCAACCCAATTGCCTCCTCGACTCGTCTGCCTAATTAGAGAAATTTCGCTTTCACTTCCTTTGTCATACTCATTTCCCCTTCGTCCATCACACAACGACAGATACCAATCGTCGTCATCCCCATTACAACCATCGTCCATTGAGTTTCATCCCCGAACTCATATCACTTGCATGAAGCCGCGATGTCTCGTTTCAAATCCCCAACGAGGACACCGCAGATGTCGAGATCCGGCTGTCCAAGAAGGTACAGGACGTCTATCGAGTTCACAGCCTCCTCCTCAAAATGTATTCGGCGTACCTCAGGGACCAGTTGTCTGAGTCCACGTCGACCTATCTGGACTCCGAGATAGCTTTGGATGGGGAGAAAGAAGGGAACGACAGTCCAAGGAGTTGGGTAACTCCAGAGAATTCCGACGGTCCAATCCCTAGTGACTCCCCAAAGAACATTAAGCATGTGTTCGAGCTGCAATTCGATGCTCAAAGTCGCTTCGTTACGGACGAAACAGACACGATGTTCCGCATGATGAAATTGGTAAGACTCGCCGTTCGTCTACGTCAACGGGTCTAAATACTGACAAACTCGAACACCCAGAACCGAAGAATTTCTTTAGTGATATGTACTCCATCTGGCACGGAGCCTCCTTGACCCTTAACGATCCACTTCATCTTCGCCCCAGCGACTCAGGATAGCGATGAGCCTCTCATCGATGATCGCCGGTTTCAAGCCATCCACGAAGTTATTATCGAGGTTCACAATAAGTTCTTTGCGGTATTGTACCATCTGCCATTCTTTATGCGTCCTGAGTGCTTCGCCCTGAAACACCTCAACTCAAGTTCGGACACGCACTTTTAACGACTACTGGCGAAAGTAGCCAAAGTGTACGGTATTAGCGTGCTCCGCAAGCCTATGGAAAACGAATACTTCGCGAGAGAGCTGAATACCTCGGTGAACTTTTATCTCGAATACGTTTACGATATAGATTTCTTCGTCTAGATCGCGTTCAAACTGCGGTCAGTGAAGATGTTTGCTGCCCTTTCCGCGCAGTGGGCAGCTTCCAATGCGCTTATAATCCCTCCATCATTCGGGACTCTCTGAAAGGCCGAGTGTAACGCGGTTGAAACTTTCTTGAACAATATGAAGACCCGTTTCTAAACAGCACTCAAGCGCCTCCATCGCCGCCTTGCCACCAAGATCGAGTGCCCCAAGCCGGCGAGCTGGAAGAGGCAATTCGGCTTTATATACTTAGGTCAATGTTTGGTGGATGCAGAGCGCAGTCCCTGCGTGTGCTGTGAGTCCACGTATGGAGGGTGCTTAACCATTATTGACAGCCCTTGGTCTATGATGGGCTTCGATGGCTATTCGCCCCTAATGGAAAGCGTTATTGGCGCCGACGACGCGGAGTTTGATGAGTTATTTGTATTCTCTAATACAGACCTTTTCGATGCCGTCCATTCGATTATCCGCGAGGAGCTCGGCGATCCACTCAAGTTCGACTAGGAGTACGATCAGGCGACAAAGAATATATTGGCGCTTGCGGGCTTTGAGGAGGACCTGCCGTGGAAGAATATTAAGCCCACTGCGAAAGCTGAAGAAGGGAGTCAAACGACCTCGTACTGATTGAGCCTACCATGTCGACTTACGAGCCCAGTATCACAGCTGATATGTACGAAGACGAAGGGGTGGACGGCTGGGGGGGGGGTTTAAGGCGAAAGAAATCGCTAACATCGTCGAACGAAGAGAATGGGAAGTGGATCTGTCCAGGTATTTCTTATCATATGCGTGTTGTCCAAATGCAATATGCAGTCATCTCCCGTACTGCAATATCATGCACTGTTCATTCCTGCCAGCGCTTTCCGAAAGCTTGTGTTCCCCGAAACTTGCGTACTGCAGGTCGTCTACTACCCAAGTCAAACCAGAGGCGTACATGTGCAACAATATAATCTCCATTTCCAGGGTTGGGTACTTGCAGGTAAGGTATGTTTCAGTCCACAAAGTCCGCACCGGCAAATCTTGGATTTACACACGTTCTCTAGATCTGATGGAATGAAGTACAGGAGATCAATATAAATAGAGTAATTGGATTACTTGGGGATATAGACAGAAACTTCAAAGTCTCAGTGACGGACTGGCTTCCCTCTCGCATTTGAATAGCTACTACCGATACCTTAGGGATAGAGCCCATGATATGTAGTAGGGATCAATGAACCAAACACAATGGATTAAGAAAGAGATTGTTGCCTCGCCACCCGTCACTTGTCTCACTCTATCGACTCGAGTCCGACCTGCTCGAGATAGGGTTTAAGGATATGTCCAGGTGACCAACGAAGGCATTGGCATCTATAGCTTTCCCCGCATGTGGCGATCGGGGAGAGCTAAAGCAAAATGCGAAATTCGGGGCCCCGAGACCTCTCGGTATTCGAAATGCCACGCCAAAGCTATTAGTTCGGGCGAATGCTTTGAAGTTGTAACTTGGCCCGATATTTCGGTAACCAAATCGATAGAGATCCGGTTGGCTTGTGTCGGCGATTTACGCTGTAGTCGTGGTCGTGGACCCCCGGAACCTCGGCTCTGATCCCAAGCGTGAAGATGATCGCCCGTGTTCACGGCATCCCGTTGTGACCTGTTGTATAGTTCCCTCCATGCTGTTGGCTGATTTCCATCATTTTTCTTGAATTTCAGTTGCTAGATCTTGTGTACGAAGGAGATGGCTCAATCATACGATGCACGTCGTCGGAGACGGAGGCGACGACGCGACAAGCCCGCAATATCGGCACATCTTCTGCTCGACGAGCGGATGAAAGGAGATGTTGGCGTTATCACAGAGGATCTCTTCTGCGACCTATTCCCTGGATACAGCGTCTCGGCGGGTGCGTATATCTTCAGGCCTCCAGTCGAGGTGGAATGCTAACAATACTCAGATGCCCAGAGTCTCGCCGCGTTACAAGGCAAGATCTTCCACGTTGCAATTACGCCATGGATGCCATCCGGTATCACGTCGCCCTCGTCTTCGCCATGGACAATTCTACCCGTCCGACCTCCTTTGACTCCAGATATGGTGCCGCGGGAACCGCATTCAGCGATCCAGTTTCCTGCTCATGCGCCAACCCTCCAGAGCTTTCAGCAGGCGATGAACACCCTCTGCCCCAGCAGAATACCACATAGGCGTGATGCGGCGATCGAGATCCGCGTGCTCGATGTGGTTCCACTCGCCTTGGATGCTGTGTATGTCACCTTGGACACCGAAGGGCTCAGGAAGTTGGATGAGGTGCAGCAACAGTTTGGAGGGGGGTTTCGAACGTTCCCTCTAAAATCCCCTATAGGCCGTAAGGAGCCGCCAGCCAAGTATCCCACGCGGGCAGAGCAGGCTGCGACGCAGGAGCGAGCTTGGAAGAACTCAGTTCGAGATGCATTGAAGATACCGCACGTTGTCCATACGGGCGACCTGCTCCCACTTCCGCTACCTTCTCATCCTATCACGCATGTCCCTCCACCGCCAGCGAAGATCAGCGCTTGCGAACCTGTTTCACAGGGTATCATACTACCCAGTACACGCATCGTCATCGTCAAGTCGCGGAATTCAACCATTTCAAACGCAAAGGCCGCCCGCGTTTCCACGCCGTTGAGCCCGAAGCCTTTCGTCAATGGTATACCTGAAGAGGGAGAGGATTCAGACCCAGAACATGAGCAACGCCAGATCTCCGAAGGGGAAGACACGTCGAACGAGCAGTTTTACAGCGCCGCAGAGGATAGGAATTCGCCGACCGACGAAGATACCCTTGACTCGGAGCTTGAGCACTCGGACTCGGATCTTTCGGATGGCTCAGATGATGTTATACAACTACATACCCCGACTTTGCCGCCGCAGTCGTCCGGTGTGCTCTCTGCATTTTCTGTCGCAACTCCGCGAGCGAATGCGAGGACGAACGGCATTTCAACTCCTGGATCAATCATCTCCTCCTTCACGGCCGGCACAGCTCGACCTGGAGGCCCACGAGGGAAGCTTTTCAAGCCACACGGGCTTATGAGCAAGATACCGGACGAGCTGCTGTATCCAAAGCCGAGTTCTTCATCGGACGATGAAGCACGGGTCTTTGTCGATACTCATGCCCTCGTCAGAATAGGTTGCTTTGCTGGCGATTGGGTACGCATTGAATCATCGAGCGACAATCCCAATTTCCCTCGAGGAATCCTAGGAGCTTTCGGACGGGACGAAGAACCTGAGGAATTCGAATGGCGAACGGTGCGCGTGTACGGCCTCCCCGAACATATGGCGAAGAAACGAGGTGCGAACGCCGGTCATAGTGAACGGGAGCACCATCCGCGTGGGATGATGACATTTCCCGGGCTGTTCCCTCCGCCCACGGCTCCCGCAGTGTATGCCAGCCCTATCCTCCTATCGAACTTGGGCGATCCGAAGTATCTTCGAATCGCTCCTTTGATGGCACATCACGTACCGAGCGAGCGAGCGAGCGTAATCGGTCGACCAGGGACGAACAGGAAGGTTCCCCCAAGTGCCTCTCCTCCGCTTGCAAAGGAAGTGACGCTACTGAAGGTAGCTACGCCGCTCAGCACCGATCGATCGATGCAGCCTAGCCTGTTTTCGGGGCTCAAAGAGTACTTCGAAGGGAAGACTCGCATTGTTAAGACTGGTGATTTGGTCGGCATTGCGGTCGACGAGAAGCTGGGTAAAGCTGTATTCCAACCAGCAAGTGGCGCAAGCGAAGATTCAGTTACCGATGAACTACTCTCGAAAGTCAAGACCGGCTCAGAAAATGCGAGAAAAGGAGTGGGCATTGCCTGGTTCAAGGTGGGCAACGTCGTCCCGGCTTCCTCGAAAGTCGAAGGCGAGGAAGAGCTCTGGGGCGGCGTAACCTGCGTCGATGCATCCAACACCAAAATGGTCCAAGCCGGCACAGAGATCAGCAAAATCCCCGCAACTCTCCCGGCTTCTCCATTGGCCGCGTCCACGACCAGCACATGGCCCTACTACCTCTCCGCCCTCCCGTCGCCGCAACCTATCTACTCCACCTCCACCCGCGGCCTCCCGCTCCTCGCCCCCCCCACCCCCCAAATCCCGGCGCTCCGCCGCCGTCTCCGCGAACTGCTCGCCGCCTCTACCTCGCCCCGCGCAATCGCCCTAGACATCCCGCCCCTCGCGATCCTGCTCACCAGCACCCAGCGGTCGATCGGTAAAGCCACCCTGGCCACCCGCGCGGCCGCCGACCTCGGTCTGCATGTCTTCCCCATCGATGCATGGGACATCCTGACCGAGGCCACGGCGGGCGGCGGCGACGTGAAGTCCGAGGGCGTCCTCCGCGCACGAGCTGACCGCGCGGTCGCCTGTGGAGCGGAATCCACGGTGTTGCTCATCCGGCACATCGATGCGTTGACGGCCGAGCGGATGCGTGGCGCGTTGGAGGATGTGAAGAGCTCGGTGCGGGTGCTGGTAGCGACGACTACTGATGTCGAGAAAGTGCCCGAGGGGATCCGTGGGATTTTCAGCCATGAGATTGAGATCGGTGCGCCTGATGAGGGAGAGAGAGAAGGGATTTTGCGACAGGTGGTGGAGGAGAGGGGGTTGAGGTTGGCGGCCGAAGTGGATTTGAGGAGCGTTGCGGTTCGGACTGCAGCGTTGGTTGCAGGCGATTTGGTCGATGTCGTCGAGCGCGCCGGTGTTGCGAGAGGGAGACGCATCGCTGTTGTTGTCGATGAAGGCAAAAAGGTCCTCGAAGCTTCGAACGGCAGCCAGACCATCATCACGCCGATGGATGTCGAGCTGTCCGGCGGTGCCGCCAGCGTCAGCCTCACCAAAGCCGATTTCGATGCCGCGGTTGACGCGGCGCGGAAGAACTTCGCTGATTCCATTGGCGCGCCGAAGATTCCGAACGTCACCTGGGACGATGTGGGTGGTCTATCGCACGTCAAGTCCGCTGTGCTCGAAACCATCTCGTTGCCGCTCCAACGACCCGAGCTGTTTGCAAAGGGTCTGAAGAAACGAAGCGGTATCCTGTTCTACGGACCACCGGGTACCGGAAAGACGCTTCTCGCCAAGGCGATCGCGACCGAGTTCAGCCTCAACTTCTTCAGCGTCAAAGGCCCCGAGTTGCTCAACATGTACATCGGTGAGTCGGAAGCGAATGTTCGCCGTGTCTTCCAAAGGGCACGCGATGCACGGCCTTGCGTCGTCTTCTTTGACGAATTGGATTCCGTCGCACCGAAGAGAGGGAACCAAGGAGACTCGGGCGGTGTCATGGACCGGATTGTCAGTCAGCTGCTGGCGGAATTGGATGGCATGAGTGAGGGTGAAGAGGGAGCCGGAGGTGTTTTCGTCATCGGCGCGACGAATCGACCGGACTTGTTGGACCAGGCGCTGCTTCGACCGGGACGCTTCGATAAGATGATTTACCTGGGCATCAGTGACACTCATGAGAAGCAAGCGATGGTTATGGGGGCTTTAACAAGGAAGTAGGTTCTCCGTCGCTGCTTATTTACTTTCGTATATGCTAACAACAGCCGCTTAGATTCGCCCTCAATCCGTCGGTGTCGCTCGCCAGGGTCACATCTACCCTTCCGTTCAACTACACCGGCGCAGACTTGTACGCTCTCTGCTCTGATGCAATGCTGAAAGCAATCACACGACAAGCTTTCCATGTCGACGAAAAAGTGGCCGCCATCAATGCACTTGCTGCGCAGGAAGATGACCGCATGGGAAAGCCGAAGCCGAAGACCACGATCGCACAGTTCTTCGATCACTATGCCACCCCCGAAGACATGGCAGTAATGGTCACCGAGGAAGATTTCGAGGGCGCTAAACGCGAGCTCGTGCCATCTGTCAGCGTCGAAGAACTCGGCCATTACGAGCGCGTCCGCCGAGCCTTCGAAGGCGCCCCCAAGGTTCAAAGCAACGGCAAACTGCACGCGTCCCCCTCAGCGGGCGATGTGCGCTCGCATGGCGCCACGAACTCCATCTCCGCCAACCACGCCGGGCCCCATGACTCCCGCAGCAACTCCTCGGGCCCCGGCTCCCCGACATTGACCCACCACACCCCCGCCACGTCCGGCAGCAACCAAAAGAAGCCGGACGGTGTGCAACGCATGTTCCGGCGCATCGTGTCCGTGTCCGGCAAGCAGCGACGGCTGAGCAAAGGCAAAGGCAGCTCGAAGAACTTGTCGGCGCTGGCGGAAGGGCCAGTGCATACGCCCGATGGCAGTGCGGTGAGCGAGGCAAGCTATCAGGATGATGAGCGGAGCTCGCAGAGGACGGATGAGCCGTATGATGAGGATGAATTTGTGATTCGGACGGACCATTTGAAAGGGAGTAATGGGTCGGTAAATGGGTCGGGCATCATGAAGGGGAAGGGGAGGAGAGGGAGTAGCGTGAGTGAGAGGGGGTTTACGGATGCGGCGGGGAATGATGAGGAGGAATTGTATTCTTGATGTTATGCAGCTGTTACAGATGAATGGAGATTTGTCCATTGGTTCATGTACCTTCCCGATCATTGCAATCCGTCTGTCCTACGGTGCCGTTGAGCAGCTAGGAGTTCATACGGAACTTCAGGAAAAGTTTTGACAAACACTCCAATGATCGGACATCATCCAAGTTGAAAGAGAGCCAGCCTTAAGTCTAGTGCAGATAATCATATCTTTAAATCTTCTGTACATTTTTCATTTGCTTCGATGCCAATTGAAGCGTACCCGACCGTATCCTTTTCATCCCGTACTAGAAATACAGCAGAAATAGGCCAACTAAACTGTCGCCCTCCATGAAGGCAAGCAATGCCACAGTACCCATATGCAACATGTTTGCTGTGACGATGACAGCGGCATCAGCATCCAAGGAATGAAGAACAATGCTACTGATATTACACGATAGCTGAGCGAGCCGCCGGTGTCCTCAATAAACCAGAGGACGAAATATCCGACGCGCTAACCCCATTTTCCCAGACCATGCGCAAGTAATAGTGACGATTAAAAACAATGGAACGAGTGTCGTCCCATCTCGTGTCCAGAAACCAAATATCTACGAGGGTATCTCATCCACCTTCTCTTCCGTCTCGACTTCCTCATTCTCCACGCTCCCTTTCTCTTCTTTCTCCGCCTCCCCTTTCTCAATCCTCGCCTTCTCCCGCTTCTCATCCACCCCCCTCTTCCGCTCTCCCGCCTCCTTCAACCCCTCCACATACGTCCTCCACTTCACAATCTCCCTCAACAAGTAGCTGCTCTTCCGCTCCCAGTTATTCATCGCCCGCACCGTGTTCGCGTGCCGCGCACTGAACACGTGCCGCATCGCCGCCCGCAGCTCATTATGCGTCACGAGCTCCTGCTCGACCGTGGTAACGTACGCGGTCAGCGTGGCCAGCTGCTCGGCTTCGCTCAGGTTGGACGCCATCATGCTGGCAGTGGGCTGCTGCCACTCGTGGACGGTCGCGCGGTCACCGGGGCGGGTTCCACTGCGGACGGCGGAGTTGGAGGCGCTGAAGCTGGCTTCGAAGGACGTGCGCGCCGTGTCGTGGGACGCGAAGCTGGGCCGCGGGAGTCCGACGGCGCTGGTGGTGCTCGGTCGCCGCATGTCCACCGTCGCGATCGACTGCCGCGATGTGCGGCCTTGAGACGTCGGTGGGGTTTCGCCGGTCGGCGTGGAGGTTCGGGTGCGCTGCTGAGACGCGTTTAACAACCCATCGCCCCATCCATATTCCACGTTGCTAACCGCCTCGCCCAGCGGCGCTTTGCTGAGGCGTGCGGACCAGTAGTTCGCGGTGGTGACCCACTCGACGACCATCTCGGGAGTTCCTGCCTGGAACAGGTGGACGGCGCCGGTGGGAAGGCTGAGTGCCCAGACATGTGATCGCGACGGTGAGAAACCTGGTGGAGGGAGGGCGGATGCGATGGTTTGCCGGAGAAGGAACTCGCCGGCCGGTTCGGCATTGTCGAGCCAGTTGCCGCCGCCGACAGGGGCGAAGGGGGCCGGCGAAGAGGAAGAACTGGACGACCCGGAAACGAGATTCGAGAGGTGTTTCTTGCTGCGGATGCGGAGGGATTTGGACATGGCGGAAGACGAATCCTTGCCAGCGCCATGTTTGAACAGGAAGAGCCGCATGACGCCCTTCTCGATGACGGCAAACGCCTCCGCCCATCCCTTGTCTTTCTTGCTGTCTTTCCCTGCGCGGTCCACCCGCTCCAGATGATGCCGATGCTGCAAGATTCCTTCCTTCGCCCACGGTGGCCCTTCCAGCTCCAACGACTCATCCTCCAACAGAGCCACCCCACCGTTCCCCATCTCCTCTGACAAATTCACCGCCGACCCCCCGAAGTTCATCGATCCCTCCCGAACGATCGCCTGCGACAGCGCGTTCGCGAACCCGATGCTCCGCTGATAGTCCGCCGCGTTGCTCATGCTCCCGAGGCTCTCGACGCTCATGAAGCTATTGTGCCGGTACTTGCTCCACGTACTGTGGCTGGTGGCTGGCGACCAAACGCTGCCGTCGTCGAAGCTCGTCCGACTGCTCGATCCCATCGTGCTGCTGCTCGTGAGGCCGGGCGTCAGCCGCGGGCGACTGCGCGTCTTGCTCGGCATCCACCGTCCGGTCATACTGCGCAGGTCGGCGCGGCCGCGGTAGGATACGGTGTCAGAGGGCGCCTTGCTGAGGACGGACGGCGTGCGACGGAGGACGTTCCCGGCCATGACAGCCAAGCTGTTGTTTGACTGCTGCTCGCCAAGCATGTGGCCGTTGGCTGTAGTGACGCCGTGGAGTGGCAGACGCTGTGCGCGGATGCTGTTGTAGAATTCGCGGAGGACGACCTCCAGTTGGGCTTCCCAGCCTTTCATGTTGCCTTTGTACGGGGTGTGCACGAGCACCGTGCATGCGTCGCCGGGGTTCTGGGTGTCGAGCGGAGCGGCTCCGTCAGATTCGGACCGGAAGGAACCGTTGGCGAGGCCGCGAACATGCGGGGAGCTCCGCGAACGGCGTTTGGCGTCGAGCGAGCCGCGGATCGTGTCTACCGCATCGGTGGCCGGGAAGTTAGGGCTGGTAGGGCTGGAGGAAGTCTTGTTCGTATCGGAATCTTGGCTCCAAGGAAGAGGGAAGCGGATCTGCGTGCTCGTCGGACGAATGGTGGTGACTTCTTCCACTTGAAGGTCACCGGCAGATTCGTCAGCGATACGGCGGATGGTAGGGAGCGTGTTCTTGACGAATTGAGACCGCGTCATCCTCTCATTGATGTCCGCGATATGAAGATCCGTGTTAAGCATGAGGATGGAGTATGCAATCGTGTGCACGACATCCGGCGATTTGAATCCGTGGCTGAGATTGCACGCACACCATCGCTGCGAGAACGCATCGATGACACGATCAAGCTGCTGCGACTCGGCCTTGACCACAAGACGAGTGCAGAGATCGCGGAATGCCAGCAAGATATTGTAGCCGCTCCAGTCGAACAGCTCCATATACGCCTTCCTCGTCCGCGCGTGCCTGGGCACCCGTTCACCCAACCACGCCGCCGCTAGATCCTTCTTGAGGAACGACTCGTCCCCATCGAATATCTTCTGCGCGTGTTCTCGGTCCTCGTCGTCGGGCTCCTGGTCGATCGGAAGGGGGTCCTTCTCCTCATCTTTCGGTTCCTCTTCTTGTGTGTCGACTCTCACGACCGGCAGGCTAGTCGCGCTCGCAAACTCCTCATTCGCGTTCGCATCCGTGCTCACCGGACTGACCCCATCCAGCGCATCCAGCGCGCTCAAATCCATCCCCGTCTCCTCACCCTCCCGCACCGCACTCGCCACGCGCACCGCGCGCACCCCCTCCATCGGCAACTTCAACCTCTCGTCCTCGTCCTCATCATACTCATCATCCACTACAACCTTGTTATTAATCTTCTTCGGCTTATCATCCTCTACCCCGGCCAACTTCTCCTCACTGCTACTTGGCTCCAACCACACCCGATTACTCCGTGACGTCGCACTGCCCGATCGCCCGGACAAGCTCGCCGTGCGCTTCGGCCACTCGGGCTGACCCGCCCGTATCGGGCTGCGCGAGGTCCGCGACGGGGTGCCTGTCCCCGGTGATGTCTCGCGCGGGGAGCTGGACGCCGAGTCGAGGGAGAGGTGCGTGGCGTTCGTGTTGGCATCGACGGCGAGGTTTCCGACGTTGTGGTTCGCATCCCGCAACCGGGGGGAGCCGGCGGTAGATAGGATTGGGCTGAGCTTATCCTCGTCACCGGTTCTCGTGCCTGCTTGATACCGCTTCTCCTGTCGCGGATGTACGTTCTCCTTCCCGCTACGCTGCTGCTGATGTTGCTGCTGCTCCTCCGGCAATCCGAACGTCGGACTCGGCGTCCCGCTCTGATTGATGCTTCCCTCTGTCACTGCGCTCGACCGACTACTAAGGTGCGTGAACGTCTGCGGCACGGGGCTCGGGCGCCCGCTGCGGTCTTCAGGCCCGGAACTATCCGCGAGGAATGATGTCGAGTCGTCGTGCGGGAGGGGTTTCGGCGGACTGCGGCTGCGGTGCGCGGTGTTCGTACTGCCTGGATGCCGCATCTTGAGCTTTAGGCGCTGGCTGTCGGGGGTGCTGGTCGAGCGGGGGTTGGAGAAGAGCTTCTCGGTTAGGTTGGGGTGGGAGGAGGCGGGGCGGTCGTGTAGGGTGTGGCGGGAGGGAGGTTTCGTTGCGGGGAGGGTGGAGGATGCCGTGGTGGTGCTCCCTGACGACATGCCTGTCTCGATGCCCGTCGAGGGTCTCACAACGTCGCGGGGTGCGTCGGCGCTTGTACGATCGGCGGCACCAACCATCTGCGCGAATCGAGCCGTTGCTCCACTGTCGCCGTTTGATGATGGGTTTATTTCCGCGTTTGCGTTGGCGGACATGGCATCCTTGTCCGCGAGGGTTGGCGATTGCATTTCGCGGGAGTCGAAATAAAGATCTTGGGGGCTCTTGACGTCTCCGACCGTCCCGGCCGCCGATGTGTCTTTCTTTAAATGCCCATCCACCGCACCTTCGACCCCGTTGCCGTGAGTTAGGAATGGATCCATCACCTTCCTCAGGCTGCTGATGCTTGGACTCAGCGGCTGCGGCACCGACTCCGACGGTCTCCCATTCGCTTCGGCGAGGTGATCGCCCTCCCCTCTGCTCTGCGTCTGTCTTGACGACGATGACATCGGCGGCCTTCCCGTCCTCGACGGCGGCGCCGGTTGCAGCGACTGCGGCACCGGCGGCGTCTCCGTCACAAAGCTCTTCTTCCGCCGCCGGAAGAACGAGGAGCCTTTCTTCACCAGCGTCTGCGGCGGCGCGGGCATCGGCATCTCCTCGTTTTCATCGTGCGTCGACGGCCGCGAGATCGAATGTCGACCTTTGGACGCACCGTGTGGGGAGGACGAGGTGGGGTTGGGGTGGGTCGCCGTGGGCGGTGGAGCCGTCGGCGATGTCTTCAGCTGGCCGGCGATGTGGCTGGAACTCGGCTGCGTCTTCGGACGGCGGGAGGGTCGGAAATGATGCATGTCGGCGTTGCGTGATGACGGCTGCTGCTGCGGCGATGGCGACGATGCCGGTGGTGACGTCGGCCGGTACGTCAGCACGTTCAAGCTCTGTGCATTTTCCAACTGCACCTGCAGTTGTTTCTGCTGCTGCGCGCGCAATTGCTCCTGCTGCTGCTGAGCCTGCTGCGCGGAATTGTTCTTCGAGGAGCCGAATACGCGTCGAAAGAAGCCAGGTCGCGTGTCCTTGGGAGCGGTGGTCGAGGGCAGGGCTTGGCCTGACGGGATGGCGGTCGACGACTTGTGGAAGGAAACATTGGGACTGGGCGCTGCTAGATCCGAGGAGCCCGCACCTGCGCCCGCGATCAGCGAGGAAGGGTTGGCGCCCGGCCCTCCATGGTTATTGTCGACCGGGGAGAAGAGCTGGTCGAGCTGGGATTCGTCGGCCGAGGGCAGATTACCCTGCTCCTTATGATTCCTCCCGCTGCCTTTCAGTGTCGCGGTGCCGAGGGCCTCTTTGGAGGCCTGCACGGCGGCCGCTTTCTTTTTTCGGCCCATCCGACTACTGGAGGATTTGGCGGAATTCTTTCGCACAGGCGGTGCGGGCGGTGCGTAGGATGGCGGGAGTGGTGGGGGATAATTCGGTGCGGTGGGTGTTCCTGCAGTAGCGGGGGAGGCCAGGGGGGTGCCGCGACGAGGCCCAGCAGGAACCGTCGGCGTCGGTGCAGCATCGAAATTGCTGTAATAATCCATTCCTTGTCCTCCGCCAATTTCAACCGGTGATTGCGGATACTGGTAATGTTGCTGTTGGTGTTGCATTCTCCCATGGTCGCGGTCGGGTGCGGTCGTTGTCTTGTGCAGTCCGCCTTTCCTCATTCCATCCGGCTGAGTCGCGGACGTCGACTTCACCAGTCTCTCGTATCCTTGGTCGAAGCTTGCCGACCGGCTTCCCAGTCCTCCGGACCGTCGCATCGATCCGAGAACCTGGTGGTAGCCGTAATCGAGACTCGACGACCCGCTCCCCTTGCTCCCTTTCTTCCCACGACTGCGAGCATGCGACGCCGTCGCACCCGAATCGGCATACCCGCCTCGATGCCGTCGTTCCGGACTCGTCCGCGCCGATGAAAGATGCAATCCATTTTTTGCTGGTGCATATTGGCTCGACGATCGACGACCCATATATTCGGCTTGCTGCAAGTCATAGTCGGAGGAGTATGAGGAGGTATATGTATGTCCACGGTACCGTCCGGTATTCCCATTGGTTGCTGGAGTGGTCCCATACCGCGAGTCGTTCTCACCCTCGTAAAATGTCGGCGTGGTGGGCGATCCAGAGGGAAAGCTCCCGGGCATGACGATGTCGCCCATCCCGAACGAGTCCAGCGACAGCAACATGTTATCGACCACGGAGTTCCGCGTGAGGTTGCCGTACGTCAAGTCGTGTGAGTCCCGTGGATCGAACTCCTCGTCGTCACGATAACAGTCGCGCTGATGGCGAGCCAGCGACTCATACGACGGACCGTCCACGGGGGTTATGTCATCGAGGAACGTCTCGTGTGGTGCGGCGTGTGTATTGAGCCGGCGCATCCGCTCGGAATCCCGACGATGTGACCGGCTAGACGATTTGCCCGGATTGCGCGCTTTCGGGGTCTGCGGAGGGGAGAGGTCCTCATCGATGTCGTTTTCGCGGTGCCGAGACGACGAAGGGGCTTCGCGAGAGCGGCGAGGGCGATTTCGAGGGCGGTGGGAGGTGGAGGCGGATGTCGAGGAGGTGGATCGAGGTGGGACAGAGGTACGGCTAGAAGAAGACTCCATCGCGGGAGAAGGGGAGAAAGGAGAGAGAAACTCTAAATACAAGTTACAGTCAGGGCCACCAGCCGCACCAACATCACGGTTCCGTCAACTCAGGTTTCTTCTCGGCTAGATAGAAGCACAAGCCGCACTAGGAATGTGTCCGGCAGCGATGAAACTGAATCCTGCATACACTATGACTTCCGATTATACATCGAATGCTGTGAACCGGACAGGTCGACGTTTGGTTGGCGTGTGGAAGCGGTCCTAGCTCAACCGTTTCTGTAACCTGGTGTCTGTCCGCCTGGCAACTGGTAGACGTATTAGAGCGCGTCGATGTGCAATTGGCCGCGTCGAACGTTGGCAAGCGGTGCTGCTGGTTGCAGAACTGCAGATGTGTGGCACGTCGCGCTGATAGGAAGGGAGGGGGGATCGAGAAGCGCACCCGAAGGAATGGCAGTTCCAGAGAACGGACGGGTGGCTGCAGAGAAGCAGATTGGATGGAAGAGAGTTTGTGACAGGATAGGTGGTGGTCAGCAACGGGGGTGAACTGGGCGTTGTCAAGCGCTGGAGGCTTGGAATGGAAAGGAGCGAATCTTTCTGGAGAAATTTTGGGGAAAGCAAATGAGGATTGATAGCCGGAGGGAATTCACCACTACTCAGCGAAGGGATTAGGGATGCCAGATGCGTGGTGGTGAACGGGGAGTGGAGGGATTGGGGGAGGAAAAACGGCACGCGAGAACAAAGGAGGGTTCAGGGGTTGAGGGAGAACCGCTACGAGGGACGAGATTCATCTCCACTTCCACCACCGAATCATCCCATCCACAGCGGCTATTACAGATTACTACATGTCGTTCCGTCTGCAGGGCATACCTATGCCGAATTACTGAGTCCAGGCACGGTAGGTAATTAGACCGGTCAACCGCCAACATTCAGGTTGTCCTCCCCGTTCTCCTGCAGACTGCAGCACGCGTGGTCAGGGGTACAGCAATTGACAGCCTGGATCCTCGAAATGGTGGTTGTGGAATCGTGGCGACTGGGGAGCCGTGTGCAAGACATCCGACCAACGCCAAAGGGCAAAGACCCAACCGACCAGGCATTGAAGCAATAGCTGTCGCGCCAAAGAACATCCGGCTAAAGCATGCATCGCGTCCCCTTTTTCCCGCTCGACCCAATTGTGAATTGCAGCAACGCAAGGCATCCCGTCCGAATTCTGATAATTCCACGGTTTTGACTTTTTGGTTTTCAGATGTTAGATCGGAAAACGTGCGCGATTTGCAGCCAGCCGGTGCTAGCGTGGCGCCACAGGGACCAGTCGTTCATTGTTTACCGCAGATCTCCTAGGAATGCGGACGCTGGACAGGACGTTCGGTGGCTCGTTTTGGTAGTTGATACTGTTTGTTGGCTGAGAGGGAATGCAGATTGATAGACATTTTGAGGTTTGCGTGGCATCTCTTTGCCCAGATTGACAAACAATGAAGATTTATACCGATATCGAGGCCGAATGGGCCCGAGACTTCCAATCATCTTTAGAGAGGTGCGGTACTTAGGGCAATCACCGACGTCGTGGATCACCGTTCAGCCGATGTCCAATCGCTTCGTATGGAGAGGCCTGAAGTGGGAAATAATATGGCAGAAGTCCGGGAACGAGTTCATTGAGCTGATTGCCATTCCTTGTGTCGTCTATCACCACGATCAGCAGCAATCAATCTGAAGGCCATCGTCAATCCCGGGATGCACATCCATCCTGGCATGCTGACTGCTGCTGTCGACTGTCGTGGCACCCTTCATACTTCAGCCGAATTGCACGTGTGAACATTGAAAAGGGTGGAGGAGAGCTGGTCCAGATTATGTAATCGGTCTGGTGTTCCTGTACATGTACAACAGGAATAATATGATTGTGATCCGGCGACCTGGACACATACACTCCCTCCCGTGCAATCACTTTCCCCCCGCTTCTCCAGAATCTCATCTGACTCTACTTCCCTGATTCCATCCCATCGTCCCGGGAACCACGGGATCTTCCGGGACGACCCTCGATCCGCTCCTCCAATTCCAATGAACTTATCCAACAGTTCTCCAGATCCCACTGCATCTGATTCTGACTGGATAACTTGAGGGCGGAGAGAACACCACACGCTGAAACATCAGTGAATGCTAAAATGCAGACCAACCAATGGTATCACCGAAACAGGGATTGGACAGGGGGTTACAAGGACTCTAAAGTAGGGTACCTTTTAACGACCATCCAATCAACGATCGGTGCCTGACACCACCTCTCACCTCAACAGAATGGCTGCATCACGAGTCCCATGCCACATGAAAGGAACTGCAGCCTCGATGTTCCCCTTCCTCCCTCACTATAACACCACATGGATTAATCGTAGCATAATATTGTGTAGTATACCTACGCATCCTTCGCAAATTTATGGGTGGTAATCTGTCACTAAACGGAAATGTGGTATCGTCCGGTCATCATCCCGTTGCACCACGCTTAGACTCCACGACTTCCTCATTCCGCACCGAATCCGCATCCATGTCGCATATCCACGTCAAAACATGCGCCTTAGATATCAAGATCTTCACATTATTACTGACTGCCGCTCCGAGCAATGTGAATGCCTCTATCACATCCTAGGACAACCGGCGTGGGTATCGATGGTCGGTACAGGGTGAATGGCCTGACTCTTCACCAGGTAATTCCATGGCTGTCCGCATATGCTAGGAGTCGATCATCCGCCGACGATGTCGCAAGTAGATTAATGGTTGATGGACGGGTAGGGGTAAGGGTGATGCGAAAAGCGGAGCGACAAATGCTGGAGGGTGAATGCCTGATGTATAAAGTATAAACTGATTCCGTATAGACATGGATAGCGCTAGAGGTTGGATTACTACCTCACATATCAGTGTGTCTCCAGACTTTTGGTAGACGTCTGGTATATACAGGTCCTTTGCCATGCACGTCATCTTCAGTAGTAGTCAAAGTTTTATAACTATCCCTATGTACATTGTAGATTCAGACCGTCAGACAAGTCAATTTCACTGTCATTATGGTGCTAGAGTATCTGCAATAATCAGAGGCCTTGCTTTGAATTGACCGGTAAATTTACCTGTTACAGAAGAGTAGCCTATGGCCAAAGAATTCAACACGCTGACATGGAAATGGCTCTCATTCAGGGAATAATAACATATAGAATGACGGTTATGGCTGTCTGTATGCTGCTGCACGCTGAATGTTGACTTCAAAAAAAAAAGTTAAGAAGACGAGATATTTTGAGCGCGTTGTTGTAATGAGGATAGTGAAATCAATCGACTGAAATGATTTTCGAGTCAAGAAATGCCACTGTTAGTGTAGATTGATTATTGCATCTAACTATCTTACTTAACTGAGTGTTTACCTACCATGGTGGTTGAGAATGATGCTATTATCTAGTAAGAATGATTTGTTGATGACGACGATGAGGTTCTTATTGCCTTATTGCCTCACGTACTCTTTTCGGCGGAACTGTGCCACACAGCCACACCACTCGTCACCCGCACCGCCACACTCACCGCCAATCGGACCAATAGAATTCCATTATTTCGCTGGACAATTCTTCACCTGAGCCTCAAAATATCTTTTCCCTCCTCTCTCTCTCTTCCGTTCTCTTCTTCACCTCTCGTTCCCCGCCTCTTCCCTTCTCCCTCTCTCCTCGGTCCTGAATCGACGTGGTCCTTGATCTTTCGCGTGCTCGAATCTCTCCTCCCACCCACCCCCAAAGCCGACAGATCTTCTTTGTCTCGCTCGTCATTACCCTCCGATTTCTCTTTCACGGATTGTGTGCGGCACAACCAGAAAGTTGTACTACAAGCCACTGTCCTCTAAGCGCCGTCAACTCTCAGAGATCAGCAGATCTTCACTATCCAGAACTACTGCACGGCACGCGCACACCGTTCCGCTCCGCCCCGCCCTAAACTACCACTACTGCTAGCCAACTCACCCGCTGCCACCTCCCCAACATCTCGAGATCAAGGCCTCCAACCACGCACTCATCACTCTTCGACACTCCCCACGCTTCGAACCCGTTCGACTCGGATCTGAAACTTTGGTTTTTGAGAACCGTCTTCGGCTCAATTTTTCTTCTGTGACTTTAGCTAGTCATGGCGGAACCCACCCAGTTTGCTTGTAAGTCCCCCCCGACATTCCCTGTGTGCGTCCGACAGATTTGGTGGATGCTGATGATCCGGTTAGATCGAACGGCCAAGGCTATTGGCGTTGTGAACGCTTCTCCTCTCTATGAGCCTTTGCCCGCGTTCCAAAGGTATGCTTGCCCGAATATCTATCCCGCCCTACGATCGTATATCGTGGAATATACTGACGTCAATTTCATATAGGCCAGAGGGAAACCTCCGGTGTTCCTGCTACTCAACATGCGGCCGGTTTTTTGCATGGGCAAGCCCCGAGCAGTAAGTCCTTCGACATACCAAATTACTGGCGTACACGTCACTCACAGATCTCAGAGTCACCGTCATCGATGCTTCTGTAGGACATATCACCGGCATAATCCCTATTGCGAACGTTTTCGAAATAGGATTCTCCCCTCTTGGAACATACATCATCACCTGGCAGCGACCAGCGAAGGATGAGGACGGAAATGCCATCAAGAACCTGAAGGTCTGGCAGACCATCGAGGATGTCGACGGCTCCGAGAAACAGGTGGTCGGACAATTTGTGCAGCGCTCGCAGACCGGATGGAACTTGCAGTATGCCTCGGACGAGAAGCTGTGCGCGCGGGTGGTCACCAACGAGGTGCAGTTCTACGAGAGTGTGGATTTGAGGACCGTTTGGAACAAACTCATCGTGGAGGGCGTCACGGACTTTGCACTGTCATCTGGGAAGCAGAGCTCGGTGGCCGTATTCGTGCCGGAGAGGAAGGTTTGTTCAGCATCCGTCACCGTCGTTGTTGACTGTTCTAACACCAACCTCAGGGCCAACCTGCCGCCGTAAAGGTGTTTAATGTCCCGAACTTCGGCCAGCCCGTCTCGCAGAAGAATTTCTTCAAAGCAGACAAGGTGCAGTTGAAGTGGAACGACCTCGGTACCAGTGTGATCGTGCTGGCGCAAACCGATGTCGACAAGACCAACAAGAGCTACTACGGCGAGACCAACATGTATATCTTGAGTGCCAATGGAGGGTTCGATGCGCGGGTTCAGCTTGGTAAGGAAATTCCTTCATTTCCTCTGTTTCGGGGCTGACATGACCTGCAGACAAAGAAGGTCCGATCCACGATGTTTCCTGGTCACCTAATTCCAAGGAGTTCGGTGTCGTCTACGGCTATATGCCGGCAAAGACCACCATCTTCAATGTCAGGGCCGTCGCGAAGCATAGCTTCCCCCTTTCCCCGAGAAACACGATCTTATTCTCGCCGCACGGCAAATTCGTCCTCGTGGCCGGCTTTGGAAACTTAGCGGGCCAGATGGACATTTACGACATGACCAAGGACTACGCCAAGGTCACGACCGTCGAAGCGAGCAATGCCACATTCTGCGAGTGGAGCCCGGATGGCAAACACATCCTCACGGCGACCACCTCCCCGCGTCTGCGCGTCGACAACGGTGTCCGAGTCTGGCATGTCGGAGGAGGCCTGATGTACAACGAGGACATGCAAGAGCTGTACAGCGTCTGCTGGCGCCCGCAGTCCAGCGACAAACATCCGCTGGGCGACCCGCTGAACCCCGTCCCCACCCCCCACCCCTCTGCCCTCGCCTACCTCAGCACCCGAAAGCAACCTACCAAACCTGCCGGCGCCTACCGTCCCCCCGGAGCCCGCGGCACCAGCACTCCCCTTCACTTCAAGCGCGAAGATGAAGGCGGCGCCGCCTACGTCTCCAATGGCGCTTCCGCCGCCGCCAACGGCTTCGGCGCCGGCCGCGCCCGCACCCGCTTCGTCCCGGGCGCCGATCCTACCGACGCCCTCCCTCCCGGAGCCGCACCCGGCGGCGGCGTCAGCCTCGCCGGTGCTATCGAAGGCCCCGACGAAGGCCTCTCTAAGGCGGCCCTGAAGAACCGCAAGAAGCGCGAAGCTAAGAAAGCCAAGGAGGCGGCGGAGAAGGCGAACCCGTCGGGCGACATCCCGCGCGGTCCGCGCAGCGTGAGCCGTAGCCCGGAGCGGCGCGGGAGGAGGCAAGGGCATGAGCATACGCGTAGCCAGGGCGGTGGGTTCCAGGGGCATGGGACGCATCATCGTGGTGGATCGCGGAATCGGCAGCAACATGGTGGGGAGCATCCGCACCAGCACACTGGCAATGCCCACCATCACGCTGCGAACGGGAAGCCGTCCGCGCCGGCGCCACTGCGCACGGCACCGCAGCAATCGGCGGTCGAAGCACCGGACCTGCAAATCACGAGCCCCGGCGGAGGGGTGCTGGGGCAGAGTCCCGCGGACAAGAAGATCCGGGGCTTGCTGAAGAAGGTGCGGGCGATCGACGAGCTGAAGATGCGGCAGGCAGGGGGGGAGAAGCTGGAGGATACGCAGGTGAAGAAGATTGCGACGGAGGAGGGGATTCGGCGGGAATTGGATGGGTTGGGGTATTCCGGGGCGGTTTGAGTGGATGAGGATGGGAGGATGAGCGTACGATGGAATTTGAGGTGATGAGGTGATGCGATGAGATGATGGCAATGTGACAGGATGAAACCGGACGAAAGATGGGAATCTGGTTGCCTTGCATCGCACTGGGATTGGAGTCCCATGCATTAGCCATCCAGACTACCCCGTATTTGCGGACATAGACACAGGATAATTATTCCCTCAACGCCGATCAGACATCCCAGGCCCATCGTCCGCCGCGCCAGTGGAAATGCCATGGAATCTACGCAGTACGAAACCCTTTATCAGACCAACCGAACCGTTCACCACATCATCACTGATCATCACTGAAACCGTTTCATCGCACAAACAAGCAAATATACGTTAAGAATTAGATTCCGCCTCCCTACCGCATTCCACATAAATGATCTATTGCCGTCGTACTCGCTACCGCCAGAATGCCCTGCCCATTGCCCACCCAGCCCTACGCTGACTGCCCTATGCCCACCATCAATGCCCACCCAGCAGCACCGCAGCACCGCCGCACGTACGATATTCATACAAACAATACAAAGGAGACCCCGGCCGCGCGCCTGACTAGCCACGGATCCCGCTCGCCCGCACGACCCCGTCGCCCGTTCGAAAGTCCTGGTATACTGAGAATGCAAATAACTTCCTGCTGTTTCGAACGCCCTTTTGTCCTGCTCTCATCCGCCAACGAACCTGGGGTGGGCTCGGTCATCCGCCTTTAGTTCTGCTTTCTCGCTATCGAATCGGATGGAGATCGATGGACAAGATCTCTTCGGTATGTCCACCATCTCATCGCTCCTGCGCAGGCAACGCAGGCAGCGCCTTATCCTTATCGAAGCTCCCCTTCGTCCGCAACGGCATCTCCACCGCCTTCCCGTTCCCGTTCCCACTCGCATTCGCTTGGACGGTAGCGCCGGCATTCCCATCGGCACTCTCTAAGCAGCGATCGAACTTCTCCACCGACCACGACCCATCCACCCCATCCCATGCCGTCGTACCCGTATCCGCCCACGACGCCTGCATCCCCGTCCCGTTCCCCTCCTCCGCGCCCCGCGTCCCACCTGTGATCGGCGCCGGCACCGCGTCGTCCTTCGGGGGCGTGGGCGGCGGTCTTTCCGGCGCCCTATCCATTTCCTTCTCCTTGCCACCCTCCTTCGTCTTCCCGTCCCCGTCTTGCTTCTGCTTATCCCCCGCCGGTTCCCCACTCCCGTTACTCTTTCCCCCAACGCTCCGATCCTCCGCCGCCTCCTCTACGACCGGGAGCGTGTACGCGCCCGACTCGCCGCGATCGGCCGCGCGGGGGTCGGGGGGACGGGTGGTGAGGGTGCGGTCGGGGGCGACGTCGGGGTTAGAGGGTAGAGAAGACTTGACGAGTCGGCTGGCTTTTTCGAGGAGGCGTTCAGTTTTGGGGTGTTCGTGTGCGACGGAGGGGGAGAGGATCCCGGGGGAAGATTGCTGCGGTGGCTGGGAGGCGGCGGGGGTGGAGGTGGGTTGGGACTGTTCGGCGGTTTGGGAGGCGCGGCGTTCGTTGTCGACGACTTCGCGGGATTTGCTGATGCCGGACATGAAGCGGACGAAACGGTCACCGTAGCGATCGGGTGGGATGGCGGAGATTTCGGGCTCGGTGTTGGTGAGCCCTTTGAGGAAGTGTTCGAAGCGCTTGATGAAGCCGTACTACGGTGAATGTCAGCGTCGGCAGATTTAATGGAACTTCGAAACCCGATGTCGGTACTCACGTGCGTCAGACAATCGATAATCCCCAAATAATAAATCTCCTCCCCTGGCCGATTGTCCTCATGCGTCGCCCGGAACCCGCCGTCGTCCCCGTAGAAATAGAACATGCTCCGGTCATTCTCCTCCATCTCCTCGGGCATCTTATACACCGCCTCGCCGATCGGAATGGGCTTCTGACTCTTGATCATCTGCCGCAGCTCCCTCGCCTTCCGCGCGTTCTCCACCACCGACGGCGTCCGCATCAGTGAGCGGGATCCCGGGTCGTCCGCTTCCCCGCCCGGCTGGAACACGCTCAGATTCTTCTCGCGCAGCTGCTCCTCGTTGCCGCGGCTGAGGTCGTGGATACCGATCAAGAGCGAGTAATCCATGATTTTCAACCGCTGGAGCAGTTTCACATCGCGCTCCATTTGCTGGATGAACCGCTGCTTTTTGGTCGGGCCGAGTTGGAGATGACGGTTTCGTCGGAGCCAGTTGATGTCTTTCAATGTGGCACGCGGATTCTTCTCCAGGTCCTCTTCCCTATACTCCCGACCGATTGTTGAGCCTTTCAGGTCAAAGGTCTGGTGAATGTCGCGGTGTGGCGGGAAGAGGTTATTCATGACGACGAAATGAATCTTTCGACCGTAAGGGATCTTCACCCGATGCAGGCCGTAAAACTGCGAAAGCAGGGTGTTCGGATTGTCTTGGACGTGTCTGTAGTAATCCCGCAGGATCTTCCGGAGAAACTTGTGTTCGGCATGGTGGATGGTTTTGATGATGTATTTATAGTCTCGGGAGAAGTAGAAGAAGCTCCCGCTCTTGCCGGGGGAGCCGAGTTCGGAAAGGATGTATTTGCTGGTGAGAGACACCAGGTAGTCGGCGGGATCGAGACGGAAGTTGGAGCGGAGGTGACGGAACACCCAGGGAGCATAGTCTTTAAATTTGAAGTCATATTTCGCGGATGGCGTCAACTCGTTCCCGGTGCTAGGATTGTCAATGGTATCCATGAAAGAACTTTGGTTAGACTCACATGTCAAAGGAAAACTTATGCCGTGCATCGAAGTCCGCATCGGTCAGATCTCGATTGACCTTCGCATTGGTTCTCGACACCGTAAAGCGAATGCCCGTGAGCATGTTATACGCCGTCACCCAGTTGACATGGGTTTGATCCACCTTCGTCCCGACCACGACTCGGTCCTCATCCTCATCATCTTTCCGCTTCCGTTTGCTCACCCTTCGTTGCTTCACATGCTCCGCCCACCGAGCCGCTTCCTCATCCTGCGGCCCCTCGTCATGAATGTCGGACTGGATCGAGCGGGTTGCTCGTCGAACCAGCGTCATCGATGACCGACGGGGGCGGGTGGGTGTGCTGGGAGAGAAGCGTCCGGCGGCAGAAATGACATCATCTGGAGTGCTGCCACGAGGAAGCTCGCGAGAGGGGCGGGAGGCGGTGGTGACGCGTGGGACTTCTAACGTATGACGATGTTGTAGTCGGCCGGGGAACGGTTGGGATGATTGGCTGGAGGAGGACGGAGGGTTTGGGTAGGACGGCGGCGTCGACATTCGATAGGGTGAAGAATATTTTAGCGCGGAATCTTCGGAGAGCCGCTCTGTGTGAGCGATGGACGAGTTCCGTGCGGACTGGGGGGAGTGGTCGACGGGATTTGGAGCCGGAGCCGGCTCCCTCGATTTATGCTCCCTCGATTTATCAGTTGGTGCGATACTTGGTGAGGCCTCGAGCTGCACGCTGGTGGTTCCGAATCGCTGCGGGCCTAAGAATTTGGCACTCTCGATCGCTGCAAAAGATCCATCATCACGGAGACTCCCGAGCGGCGCGCGTGGCTGAGTGACCGGCTGCTGCCGCTCCGCTTCCTCAATTGATGGCAGCCGAGTGTTCTCTGGTCCATCTTTGCTGTCTCGTCTGATCCCATTAATCCCGGATGAGGTCGATTCCGATGCGGCGCCATTCGGACGTTCTATCTCTTTTGAGGACGTCGCTCGGCCATTCGGGAGGCCGTTCGACTTGGCCAGATCCCCATTCGTCTGGGTGGTATCGTTCTTCTCATTCTCCATGGCATCTCTCTCCTCATGGGAGTGCTTCTTGGATCGGTAGTGGAACGCATCGGCCACGGGCTGTGCCAAACCTGCCAACGACGGCATCGCGGCAACCGAAGCCATCAACCGGATCTCAGCTGAAACCGGAACGACACGGTGCTAAGCTCGGCCCTGGACAATATCCATCATTGAAAGATATGTCGACCAGCTGCTCGCACGCGAATTCCGCAGATATTACTGTAAGGGGGAGTATTGTGTGTTCTCAAACCGCCGTTGTGGACATGCTGTTGATCGGAGGTTCGGGGATGGGGTGATAAGACGGAAGTCGATGGAGCTAGCGGGTGAATAGGAGGAACAATGTGTTACGAGACTTTCGACGAATACGAAAGCTCAGCAGGGGAATAGTTATGGAGAGTAGAGCGGTGGGATAATACGACGATGAGATTCGTGACGCAGGAGAGAAGTGATTGATGATTGAATTGAACGGACGCAGCCACAGCCAACTCTCACATCCTCAGCATCAGAGACGCAGGAGAAGAAGTGGAAATGATGATTTGTGGCGGTGCTGCCAAGACCAGCCTGAGTTGGCACTTCGGTTCACTTGGCAGGCGCGGTGGCTTGGCGGACAGGGGTGAAGCCACGCGTCAAATGATACGAGTCACCTGACTACACCTTATGTCAACGTCCACACGAATAACATCCATAGTAATAACATGAACGTCTTCGATAATCCCATCTTGCTACTTCCGAACTACATACATACAATCCGTTTCCGAACTCGAAAATGGCTATGTAAGTCTGTATGCCCCTAGCCACTTCCTTTCAATCAAACAAAGCATGTCAGTAACCCCGATGATCAATGCCACAAATTATACAAAGCGTTGACCGAGTCCCATGCCGTCCGTAACCTGCGAGATCCCACCTGCCCATATTCGTGATCTCTCGGTCCCTTGAAGGACTGGGTATCCTTCTTCTTTTCGTAGCACCCTCATCCAAATGACAATTCACGCGTGCGTCCAGGAGCCGGACGCTCGTCTGGCATTGTCGGTTCATTTGGAACGCCAGAGCGCGCATAAATCGTCCGCTTTGGGCAATGCGATAGCGCACGTCATCCGTCACACGCGCTCCTTTCACCGACGATACTGCGCCAACTGCGCCATCAACTCATCCACATTCGGCTGCTGCCCGCCCGGCGCCGGCCCAGGCGCTCCTTGCGGCGGCGCGCCTGTCGGATTGTACGGCGGATACTGACCGGTCCCGCGCGGTGGATATGCGCCGGGTTGCGCGGGGGGTTGGGTGGAGGCGGTCGAGAGGATGCGGGCGAGGTCCGGGGTCAGGGAGGTGGCGTCCGATTGCGCGTGGCCTGGTTGCTGTTGTTGGTAGGAGCTGAGGAAGCGTTGGAGATCGGGGCCGTGGAGGTTGCCGATGAGGGAGGCGACGTTGGAGGGGGTGGGGGGGACGGAGTTGGGGAGGGGGGGGATGGAGGCGGATGGAGGGGGCATGCCGTAGGGGGCAGAGGGGGCGCCGTAGGGTGGATATTGGGAGCCGTAGCCGGGCTGGGGGGTGGCTTGCTTTGCGCGAGTGACAAGGGCGGCTCCGATGGTCGGTTCTAGGTTCGCGTATTCTAAGACAAAGATGTCAGTGCTGCGCTTGATAAGAACGGGCCCCATAACGCACCATCAAAGCGAACATTATCAAGACCCTGGCTGCGGTCGAAGACCTGTAGGTTGATCTTTCCCGACGCTTGTGACCCACGCGTCAACTTGCAAACAGCATATACCCCTTCGACAATCTGGCGTTGCACCACCGCGCTTTCCGAGAGTCGAGGGCTCATGATCAACGTGTCGACACGAATCCCCGCCCCGATGAAGCCTTTCTCAACATATTGGATGAAGCCACTGCCCACCGTGTCAGCTACCACCCATGCATTTGGATTCTCCAACTTACCGATCGAGATTATCCAGCACGAGAATCTGGACATCCGGAACGTCCCTAGGATTCCTCCTCGGAGGCAGATCGTCATCATCCCGGCTGGATGGATGGCCATAGTAATCACCGCGATCACCACGACCCCCGTACGGGGATCGCGATCGGCTTCGTCGATAGCGCTCATAACGGTCGCGCTCACGGCCATATCCACGCGGCGAAGGCGAGCGTCCCGGTCGATAATCATCCCGGCCACGACGACCACCTCCCCCATTCATATCACCCACATATCGATCCACGTTTCTGCCTCGCCCACCGCGGCCATGGTCAGGGGAGCGGGAGCGACGTTTCTCGGCCTTTTTCGTGTTCTTCTGCGGCTTGGAGATCTCCAAGTCTGCGATGTGTTAGTCGCGGCAAATTTCTTCGTCGATTTGCAGAAGTGACTTACGCATCTTCCGACCGCGGAGAAGCATGCCTTGCTCTGCCTGCAGTGATCGCCAGCAGGATTCCGAGTCAAGGAATTGGACGAATCCGTATGCCTGCTTGATGGAAACTTGCGCGAGTTTACCATGTCTGGAGAACTTCGCAAAGATGTCTTTTTTGTTCACTTTCTCTGTTGGCAGGTTGCCTGTGGCACGTGTTAGGACTTCAGTCACCGAAGATAGTGGAGTCAATAATTTACTGACCAATAAACAACCTTGATCCCGCCGGAAACTTGTCCCACTGTCCCTCGCTCACATATGCTCGCTCCTCCTGTAAGAATTGATCATAGTCGGTTTGCATTTCCGGGGTCCACGGGATCTCATCGTCACCAGAACCCGGTCCCTCGACCGGCGGCTGGACCCCGGGTGTGATTGGGCTTGGCTGTGGCATTTGCGCGGGCAACTGCGCCGGAGGCTGCACAGCGGGAGTGCTACCGGTCATGATGGGCGGGACGCCGGACTGCGTTCGGTACGGGTTGGAGCCAGGCAACTGGTTGTGGGGATGGTAACTACGTATATCATCTCCCGGGTCGTAGTTCGGGTGTGTGGTAGGCTTATCTTGTGGAGGTGGTCGTGGAGGGAGGGTGGAATAGATGGTAGCGGACGATGAAGACTGTGATCCATTGGAGGGGTTTTCACCGCTGATAGATGTTGCGGAAACATTGGGGTCTTCGGGTTGCGATGGTAAAGGTGTGGTAAGGTTGTCAAGCAGTGCTTGAAAGTCTACGCCGCCACTCTCTACAGTGGTTGGGAGACTCGTAGCTTTGTTGGGTTGTTCTTGGGATTCACCCGTCTGGGTCGGCTGAGGTGGCTGAGAGTCGCCCGTCTCAGGAGTAGGAAATTGGGTTGTGGAGGTGGTGGTATCCGGGTTGACGGCTTCACTGGTCGCATCGACATTTGATGTGGTCGGTTGTTGGGCGAGTTGATCGATTAATGAGTTGCTCTGAGAATTAACTCCATCACCGCCATTGCCGGCAAAAGCGTTCGAGATATTGTCCACAGCCAGCCCTGTTCCATCCATCGCCGGATTTGCGTGGCCTTGGACTTGCGACATGTGGATGGTTTCTACCCCTTCTGGCCGGCCGGGTTGTGGTGCATCTTGAATGATGTTGGGCTGGTTGCCGGCAGCCTGAGGGGCGTCGTGGGGGAGTTCCGCTTGGTACGCGGGGTCCATCTGCATCTCAAGAATTGGGATATTCGACGGGGATGGATAGTGGAGTGGCTTCGGAGAGACGGGTGACAAGGTTTTGCTGCGGAACTCAGGCGCGTTGGTGGGAGGGCTGAATGTCATGTATGCGAAGGGTATGCCGTATCGGGTCTAATTTCTCAGGCAAACAAGTCCTTTATGGATCGTGGGCAAATTGATGATCATCAGCGAACAAAGCTTGGGAGTTGGGGGGATGTTGTTATAGGAGTTTGCTCGGATTGTGTATCAGTCAAGGTTGGAGATGACTGGCAAATGATTGTGTGTGGGAGTGGGAGTCTGGCAACCTGGTTGTTGGACCAGTTTGGGGCTCAATTGGTGAGGATATGCGAGGCCATCACAGAATGTTGGGTAGGTCTGGAAGATTGCAGTAGAAGAAGAATTGGATGGACCGGATGTTTCTGGGACACTGAACACAGCGGTGATGGTGTACTGAAAGCGATGGTAATGGCGATATTGCGTGCTGGATGGAGTGGGACGTTTGATGATGATGGTGATGAAGACGATGAGTCCTGAAAAGCTTCCAGTTCTAGCATATCGACGAATTACATAAGCGGTGAGGTACCAGTCTTGAGGAAAGTTCGGTCGTCACGTGGTTTGGGCCTTAAAGCATTTCATTTCAACGTCTCACCAAGCCAGCGCTCAATTGTTTGAAGAAATTTGTATTATTAAGTAGGCCAGGTATTCATCCATTCGCACTGAACCCCGATCCTCATATCTCATCCAATCTATATCCAACCGAACCCGCCGTCCCAAAAAACTCGTCGCAAAGATCCCAAAAGCAAACTCCGAACCCCTTCCCATGAAGATCTAACGCTCAATGGTATCATCCCCTCTCATCCCCCTATCATCTCATCCCTAAGTCTGCGGCGTAAACGTCCCCTTCTACGCAACGCTCCCCTGCCGACTCTCGTCCAGGCTATACGTCCTGGCGCCGTAGTAGGTCATATACGCCTCATTGACGCTGTGATGATGCTCGCGGGCTTTGCGGGCCACGTACCTCAGCGTGGATTTGAGGGAGGAGGTTGACTTGGTGGAACCGGCGAGGGTGGGAGTGGAGGTGCCGGAGGAGGGTTGGGAGGTGGAAGGGAAGGTGGCCGTTTTGTGGTCCATGGCGTCGGGGCGGGAGAGGTATTGGAGGGTGACTGATTCCATTGCGAGTCTGGTTGGTTGGTTTGGGTTTAGATGGTGGTGAGGTGGTAATGGTTGGTGGGGGTGGTTGTGTTGTGGTAGTTGATGAAAGCTTGATATAAGACTGGATAGACTTTGATAGACTTTGATACGCTTTGAGGATTGATTGACTGATGCGATGCTTTGATGCTTTGATGCTTTGGTGCTCTGATGAACTGATGCGCTGAAATATTCTCCTACCTTTCGCCGACTTCTTCAGCCCTCTTTATACTTTTCCGGACGTCCATCCATCATGAAATATTCACGCTCTTCAGAGCAGCACATATGACACCACGTCCATGCGTTGCTGGACCGTGACTCCAAATATCTCGTTTCGGCATAAATCATTAAGCTGGACCCTGCGCATCCATGGCGCATCAGGCACTGCGAAACGGCTGGAAATGCTGAATACGGTGGTGAAAAACGCATTGGTCAGCGGCGAATTCACGATGTTAGGAGGTGGTGCCTGGTGGGGACAGGGGGGTTGTCTTTGATTGAGTGCGAAGGGCGTGGTTGTTCATGTAAGCAGGGTGAGATAATGAGAGGTGATTGGTGGATGGGTGACAGGGAGGGTGTCATGTTGCAGATGGACCAGTGAAATCTTGGAGTGACGCCGCTTTGTCAGGAATCGGTCTCAGGGGATGTGGACATTTGCGCTACGATGGACCGCGTGTAGCTTGGATATACGAGCCCGCGTGTTGGCTACAAGCGTGAAACGGTGTCTTAATAATGCCATTGCGACATCGCTGTGATGGACATTATTAATGGAGTATTACTAACAACCCGTCTACAATTGACGACGACTTCGACGAGTGAGTCGGTTACTCTGCGAAGGGCGTTTGTCGAACTCGAAGCCATATAAAGTTTAGAACACTTCAACAACCACCTCACATCCAAATCCAGATGCCTTTCTCAACCGCCGTTCCCCTTCCCAAATCTCCCTCGCCCCCTGTCCCCCCCCGCCAAGCATCGCGAGATCCATTTCCACTCGCCCTCAACACCATCCCTCGTATCAGTATGCAAATTTCTGCCTCACTTCCTGACGTTGGGAGATCCACTTTGCGGAAAAACGTGGACAGGCGTAAATAGTTGAGTGGAGATTGAGGCGACGAGATTTTTTGTTATGGTCGCATATTCTCGTGCGCGGGCGGTTCTGGTCCACTTGTTTCGGTGGAATGATTGGGAGTAATACCGTGGTGTTGGGACTTGGGACTTGGGAGAAATGGATTTCTCTTGGTTTCACTTAGAGCGAGATTGATGATTGACGGGACGCTTCTTAACGGGCCGCACCGTCACGCGGTTCTGCCTTGATGTCTTGACTCTTGAAGTCTTGATGCCCTGCCAGTTGGGCCCGTCAGGTCATAAGGCTACATGGGTACCAGAAATCCAGTCCATCCAGTCCGCAACAGAATATTAACAGCACCATCAACATGCAGAATCCGATGTCCAACTCCAGCTTCACGCTCCTTGGCAGTTCGATATTAATCGTCTGCCACATCCATTATTCCATCATCACCTGTCTCAAGTCCCATGAATCAATCCCAAATGGGATTTGAGATACTTTGCCCAAGTAACGGTAGGTAGGTAATTGGGTTTTTCTTGACTCATCTATTGGCGCTACGAACTGCCTGCTATTGCTGTACCGTACTTTCAAGTCTTGCATGCTCCGGTCACCTGGATCCCGCCTATATATCTGTTGGAAGACCATCTTCGAGTCATTTTCTTCATCTCGCTACCTTTTTCCAAGACACAGCGCATCTGCAAATGTCAACTACAATATCAATGGAAGAGCGTTTGTTGCCCCATGGATTGAGTGAAGAAATGTGTTCAATTGCAATAGCTGGCAGATCGGTTCCCCATACTTCAGACACGGACTGGGTCAGATTCTGTATCATTTGAGGTATCCGATATCATGCAAACTTCGCATCCTAGCTACGAGGCGCCACGCCTGAATTTACACGTGCTCTCAACGCCCGCAAAATTATGAGCAGCATGATTCTGACCATGGAGAACCCTGACGAGCAATCATATTGTATATGGCATCCGGAGGTGGCAGAGCAGAAGACATACCGCGAACGGGCGCTGAAGTACCCGGCTATGAAATACCAGGTCGGACAAGCTTGCGCTATGGTAGGCTGTGTCAACCTCTACTAAGACCTTGACCTCCTCCCGAACATCCCGATTGCAGAATAATCTCGGGAAAGCGGGGACAAGGGACACGAAATATTCGATCAGATTATGCCGCAACCGCTGAAGTATGTTGTCAGGGATGACTATAAGAGAATTGTGAACATATCTGATCCATGAGCAGGTGCAGTCTTGAACGGCAACACTTGCGTGCGGCCTCTGCTAGATGTCAAGCACAGACACCCAATCTGGGTACAGACACTGGGTGGTATAAGGTACTACCCTCCCGAAGCACTGCCCTTTAATCTCGCAGAGGATTTGGGGATAGATGCATTTGATTCCGAATCTCAGATAATGTCTCAAGAAGACCTCAAAACGACGCATATCCCAGCGAACGGACGAAGGAATCTATTACTCAGAATTTGATTACAAAGGTCCCCCCACGCGGTCTACTCGAATTCGGCTCATTGCAGGGAAGATTTTCTTGAGGGAGGACAATTGGATTTTCGATTACGAAGGAACGTATGATGGGATTGGGATATACATTAGCCCGATCGAGCAGGCAATTTGCATTCCGGACTCCATAAGGCTTCCTTTGGCCGCAAGGCTTGATCTACCCTGTGGCTTGAACAGATTCAGACCCGAGGACCTCTACAAGAAATAATGATGAAACGCCATGTTTTCTGTGCGTTAATGCCTGCCATGATATCTGACTCCAAAGGTTTGAAATCGAAGCTTGAGTCCAAAGCAAGGACCGTTTGGGTCTGGATGGGCTTCCAACGACTGGTCCGGATGAGGAATTCTGGGATTCGGCCTTGGGCGGCAAAGCCACGATTCTACTGGCTCGCAACATCTCTACCGCTTGCCAGATGGACACACCAATTTTACAAAGAACAGGCCTGCTCTGCTGGACGCCATACTGCAAATGTCAGGGCCAACGGAGAGCAATGTTGTCGATCCTTGAATTCATGGGTCGACCATTTCAAACTCTTGTCACTGCAAGTTTCTGGCGGGATATGCCATGCGTGGTTCGGATTATGTAATACAGGCAAGCATCAAATATCAATGCATCATCCATAGCCATCAATCACTGGCACAAGCACCCACACAATTCCTGTCAACATTGTGGCACAGTACCTGTACGATACGATTGATGATCCGACTTTCCTTTACCATTAACCGATGGTACTTGAGTGCGCAATCCCGAATTGGACTTGCATAGAAATTGTCCATAGTCGATGGTGCTCTTGTCCCGGAAATTGATGGTTCTTGGGTTTCATTGACATCTTCACATAACTTTCATGCACCTGTGATACTGGGACGGATCCTCATCGAATATGGCTTTAATGCGGCATTTATTCCGAAAGGCAAATGCGATTGTATATAACCCTCCGGTCTATCCGATCCTTTCCCGGTCCTTTCGGCACCAGGTCCCGCCGTCTGACGATGAGCTGCGGGGCGCCCGGCGCTGGCTGAACGACTTCAATCCGAAATCCATCCCGGAGTCGATCTGCGAAGTGACCTACAGCCGCTCCTCCGGGCCCGGCGGCCAAAATGTGAATAAGTAACAACCCCCCACCCCCGATCCTCCTCCCAATATCTAATCACGACCCGTTGCCCGCCCAGAGTCAACTCAAAAGCCACCCTCCGCATCGCACTCGACCGTCTCCTCCCGCTCGTTCCCCCGCTCCTCCGCGCCCCGCTCCTGCAGGATCCCCACGTCGCCAAGAAATCCAACGACATCGTCATCCAGTCCGACGAGTCGCGGAAGCAGAGCGAGAACACGCAGAGCTGCCACGCGAAGCTGTTTCATCTGGTCGCGGACCTCGGCCGGGAACATATCCCCGCCGAAACGCCCGAGTCGAAGAAAAAGCGGATCGAGAATCTGTAGGTGCTTCGGTTGATGAGGTGAATCGTTGCTGACGGTGATGGGTAGAGCCAAAGAGGCGAACGAATCGCGGTTGAAGGAGAAAAGGTATCATAGTAGCAAGAAGGCCAGCCGTCGTGGGGATGACTAAGCATCAACGTGTTTCCTTGCATCAGCCGACTGAAACGACTTGGGTGTGTTTGGTTGGTAGCAGTTCTTTCAATGCATGGGCGTCTTCCGCTCGATTGGCCTTCTCCAGCTTTAGAAGCAGGGCGCCTAGTGAATGCTCTTCGGACTTTTGATGTCCCTCCTCCGCCTCTTTCGTGAGTCGGCGCACCGATGCTCCTAGCACCTTGCGCAAGGCGGAATCCAGTTCTTCGTTCCTGAGGAACGCGAGCAGGGAGGATATAGTCCGATATGCCATCTGAGGGGCAAGTGGATTGTTTTTGAGAAGACCGTTGATGCGAGCCAGGGTGGCTCCCAGCGTCGATGGAAATTCGGGATCGGTGGGATCCGCTCCCATCAAAACCATTCTGAGCGAGCAGAGGATCGTCAACGGATCGTCTTCGGCCTGCTCCTCCATTTCGCTCCAGATGTGCTGGAGGATGGTGCGCGAGCATGGGAGGGATGAGAAGTCCGTGATCATGTCAAATATCTCTTCGGCAAGACTCAAGTCGAAGTCGAAGTCCTTCATAGCAGCGTCGAAAACCGCAATGGGGATTGCTCCGTTCAAAATCGGTTCGAGTTTGTCGATGGAATCTGATGCAAGCTCCGATGCGTCTCCTGCGAGTGCTTCCTCAGATCCGTCCGGCAGTTGGATCATATCGGCGTCCGCTCCCTCCTCCTGCTCTGACTGAGATTTCGCCGCGATCTTTATATGGCCTCCGAAAACTTGCCGACGCCCTTCGATCTTCGCGATGTATAGCATCTCCAGTTTCATGTACTCCAGCCACAACGACCTGCATTTGACACAGAACCGGAGCCCGCGCTGCAAGTAATTCCGCCCGGCCGCGACATCCCCATCGCTCTCGGCCGCATACCGCGCGGCGTAGATCCACAGCTGCGGCTTCGTCGGATGCAGACGCAGCACGCTCGTCAAGATTTCCTCGAGCCGCTTGTGCGCGCGTTCCTTCCTCGCGTATTCGATATACTGCATCCACAACCCCACATCTCCGCGATGCCGCTTGGTCGCCCGGTTGAGGATGGAGAAGATCCGCTTCTGGCCGGAGTGATCGCGGTCCTTGATCCCCAGACGCTTGACGCGCTTTTGACGCAGGGTGTCGAGGTTCATTTCGTATTCGGCGTAGCGAGCGAAGGTGGGCGCCGGGGCGCCGGGGGAGTTGAGAACGTGCTCGAAGCCGGCTCGTTTGCGGGTGATAGCGGAGATTTCATCCTAGGGAAAATTTGAGCATGTAGACGGTGGATAGGCGCGAGGAGGCATACTCTGGTGAAGATGGCCTTCCGTTCATATTCGCGAAGGTCAGGGACGGACTGCTCCAGGTAGAACCTTGCTTTATCGTTTGCGGACGCCATATTGGGGAGCCGAGGATATGGATGGAGGGAATACAGCAGCTACTACCGACAATACTCTACCCGATTATGCAAAGAATTCGTCTTTATGTGCATTCCCAGATTTATAATTGTTGGGATGGATATTCGGGCAAACTCTCATGTGAAGAAAAGTTCCACGGATAGTTGGCGCGGCATAGAAATGACCGGGATGCGGCAATACCACAGCCGCGATTTCGGAGAGTCGGCGAGTGACGCTGAGGTGGCTTAGGGTCTTGGCCTGTGAAAAGATCTAAAGAAACCAAGATTATCACTTTATCAGATCTTTCCCTTGCACCAGGAATCGCTCCTACAGTCCACACTCCATTCACCTTACCCCGTCCGCGTAAGAACCCCCAAAAGTCTCGTCACCAGTTTTCTACCCATTTCCAGTCCCCCCCAGTCTGTCTGCTGTTTCTCTTCTTCGTCTTTAAGTTGGCTGGCAATCCGACTTCTCTACATCCAATTGCATATCGTATTCGACCACCCGAGAGTGTCCGGAGAGGTTTCGGGCGACCGTCGAAATACGCGAATCCTATTCACAAGGTGTTATTCACCTGGCAACGCCGACAATCTGGATACCTCCGCCGTAATCCCACCGTCGCGGCTTATGTCCGCATCCGAGGCACTTCCCCATGATGCTGGCTACGAGTAAGAGGAACTACTTCCGCCTTGGAGGTCGTGGTAACTGATCGAGGTCATAGATATGAGAGTTTGCCGCCAAACTTCTCATGGGGAGCAAATATGCTGGCTGGAGCCTTCGCAGGCATTCTGGTATGGAATATTTCGGCCGACTATGAGGCTACGGTCTAACTCGTACAATAGGAACACACGGCCATGTATCCAGTTGACCTACTGAAGGTGAGACATAAGGCGTTCCCTACAGCTCCACCACCTAACCACAATTCTTGCAGACTCGAATGCAAATTATGAGCCCATCACCATCGGGGATATACAACGGATTATCCGATGCAGTCGTCACCATCACACGGCGAGAAGGCCTCCTCACACTATGGCGAGGGATATCGAGCGTGGCAATTGGGGCAGGTTGGTGATCTCGGATTCCCGCACCGGGGTCGAGCTGAACGCTGACGTCGCTAGGTCCGGCACACGCGGTGCACTTCACGGCATACGAAAAAATAAAAGATGTAATGGGCGGCGGCGGAAATGAACATCATCCAGTCGCTTCATGTGGGTTTGCTCGCGGAATATATTTGGAATGGCGCTGACGGATTCTAGTTTCTGCTGGTGTGGCGGCGGCGATTGGCGGGGAGGCCATAATGAACCCATTTGATGGTATGTATCTCGCCCACATACTCGAATTGGTGCAATTGGCTCACGATTTACAGTCATCAAACAACGAATGCAACTACAAGGCTCCGAACACAGGTCGATCGTCAACTGCGCCCAGTCACTATGGAGAACCGAGGGACTTCGATCCTTCTACATTTCATACCCTACCTCCATCTCGATCATGATCCCGTTCAACGGCTTCCAAATCCTCGCGTACGACTCAATATCCAAGTACTGGAATCCTTCCGGGAAGTACGACCCCGTCACCCATTGTGGTGCTGGCGCTCTTGCAGGCGGGCTTGCAGCGGCTGCAACCACGCCCTTAGACGTCATTAAGACCACCTTACAGACGAGAGGCTCGGCGATGGACCCGGAGCTGCGAAATGTGTCCGGAATCCGGGACGCGGCGGCGGTCATCCTCCGTCGAGAAGGCATGTCCGGGTTCTTTCGAGGGTTAAAACCTCGAGTCCTCGCCGCCATGCCAAGTACGGCGATTTGCTGGTAAGGACGTCGTATTTCCCCATATCCGGATATTTCGCTCACTTTTCATCAGGTCCGGTTACGAAGTCCTCAAAGCGGCGTTCCTCGCCGAGGCGAAGCGACAGAACCCCGAATGATACACTCGCGCTGTCTAACGACAGTCATCGACCTCTCGTTTGCGGAGTTCGACACTTAGGAGCGCGGCGATTGGGTTACTATCTTGGAATCCATGTAGACAGTCTGGCTCAGGCATTTAAGTGTGTGTTTTTAACCCGTGCGATGGTTGCACGATGCGGTCCACCAACCGGGCATCGGCCGGGGACGGCCATATCCCTCGCCGTTCCCGGTGAGCGACGTCGCATCCGACGATTTCCTTGGTCCCGTCGTGAGCCAGAATATGGTGCTCAGGACGGGCGGCAGCGTGGCGCTGATGGCGGCTTGACGATCCAACTCGACTCTTTAGGTTCGGCGGCCTTGGTGTCGGAGTTATCGGAACTGTACCATAGCTGATAGAAACGATATTTGAGCATCGCTGTGTTTATGGCGAGTCGGCGCAATTACAACGGCATAGAGTAATTCGGCACGTGACATTGCTTGCAGCCATGCTGACAATAAGACCAGCGTTGCATGAACATGTTTTATGGATTGTGATACGAATAGCAGAAATAGATATTGAATCCTAGATATAAGCGTCTAGCCTTCTGCGGTTCAGATCGTTCATGTGTTCTTTAAACAAGACGACCCTAAAGAGTACCTTTCCTGTGTTCATCGTTATGGCATGCAAGACACCACAGCGACGTCACCCCGCAAATCGCCAGTGGCTCCTCCAGTGGCTCCTCGCCATATCAGGATCTCAGTTCATCACTTCAACTCAGGCAAATCACGCAACCATACATCTTGCGTTTTCTAATATCTGAAAACCCATCATATGGAATCCATCCCGAGTTGAGACTAACATTGCGATCGATGCACGCATGCCTGCTGTCTCCGTGACGAGGGGCAAGTAGAACAATCTCCATTCTCCAACCAGGAAGATGAAGGGCAAGCCGTCCACCATTCTCCAAAAGACATACGATGATTGTTATCTCATATGCTCTACTGCCGTGTACTTCGAAGGCAAGGTATGTCGGTCTATTCCTGCTTATGAAATCCTCCACTGAAACGAGCCATCAGAACAACGAAGCCGAAGCCCTGCGCGCCTGGAAGAACGCTCTCGACCAACTCCACTACCACAAGGCCTTCAAGCTCCCTTCGAACTTTCGACCGAAGACTGAGACCGAGAAGGCCCTGGATGACTCGCTGAAGGAATTGGAGCTGCAATGCAAGGAACGGGTGGACCTGCTGGAGGCACTTCAACAGACCCGAGAGGTGGCGCCATCGACTGGAGATGGTTCGGGACAGGAGAGAAGGGGATCACCAAGCTACAGTACCACAGCGACAGCTGGAGGAGTGGACACTTCAAAATGGCTCGGTTCGGGCACTGTGGAACCGTTCGCCTTTCCGGCGTTGTCGAAACCTCCCTCGTTACCGTACCGTGCCCCTTCGTCCGCCAGCGTCGGGGAGTCATCGCGGCCTCCGTTAACCAAGAATCGTTCAGAAAGCTCGACCCGCAGCGGCAGAGATCCCGAGACGAAGTCCTTGCGGTCATCGAGCCCTGAGAAGCGCGGGATGCTGCTGAAGACACTGCGTCAGCCGGGTGCCGCGAGGAAACCAACGCCATCGTCTACCAGGGCGTTTGGGTCGCCGTCGAAGCCGCATGCAGCACAGGCGGCTACGCAAGCTTGGGGGACGAAGGCGACGTCTGCGTATGAATTGGCGCCGTCGGAAAAGATCGATCCCACGGCGGCCCAATCGTTGTCGAAGTCGACCGAGATGTTATCAGCTACCTCGTCATACGACCTACCCGCCAGTTCAGCCAAGGCCGCTATTAAGAATTCCAACGACACCGGCTGGCCGTCGAATAACACGGTCAACCACGTGGAACCAAGGAAGCCCAACCAGTCTAGTTCGAGTCTATCGTTGGGGGAACGCTTGGGTCATGGCTCCAAGGGCAGGCTCGGCGCTCTTGATATGGAGAGGAAGCACTTATCTGAATCACCCGCACGAACTCCCGCGATCTCGCGAAAGCAACTTCAGCAGCGCCGACCCGACCAAGCTTCAAATACGGCAATGAAAAGGGGCGAGGGATCGACGAGGTCGCAGAAGGCACGCAGACCTCGTTCTCCTAGTGGGGATCAACCAACCTCAGCACCAGAATCCCCTGAGGATGAAACCGTTGCATCCATCATCGAACCACCGCCTGGTACCGGGCAATCCGAATGGAACCGCCGCGTAGCCTCCGTCCTCAAAGAACTCCCGAACGGCATCGACCGCGATGCCGCCAACCAAATCGTCCACGAAATTGTCTACGACGGCGACACCGTCTATTTCAGCGACATCGCCGGCCTCTCCTCCGCCAAGCGCACCCTCAAGGAAACCGTCATCTATCCCTTCCTCCGCCCTGACCTCTTCCACGGCCTCCGCGAGCCCGCCCGCGGCCTCCTCCTCTTCGGTCCCCCCGGTACCGGCAAGACCATGCTCGCCCGCGCCGTCGCCACCGAGAGCAAGAGCACCTTCTTCGCCATCAGCGCCGCCAGCCTGACCAGCAAGTGGCTCGGCGAGAGCGAGAAGCTAGTCCGTGCGCTGTTCGCGCTCGCGCGGGCCCTCGCGCCCAGCATCATCTTCGTGGACGAAATTGACGCGCTGCTCGGCACGCGGCGCGAAGGCGAGCACGACGCGACGCGGCGGGTGAAGACGGAGTTTCTGATCCAGTGGAGCGACCTGGCGCGGGCGGCGGCGGGGAGGCCCGGTGAGGGGGAGAAGGAGCGGGAATTGGCGAGTCGGGTACTGGTGTTGGCGGCGACGAATATGCCGTGGGCAATTGACGAGGCGGCGAGACGGCGGTTTGTAAGGAGGCAGTATATCCCGTTGCCCGAGAAAGAGACGCGGGAGGTGCAGATGAGGGGGTTGTTGAGCCATCAGAAGCATGGGTTGAGCGACGAAGACATCGCGAAGCTAGTGGAGAGATCTGAGGGTAGGTCGCTGATGTTTATTGCTTGCGTGGATCAACGTGCTAATCGGACATCATTCAGGGTACTCGGGCTCCGACATCACGGCGCTTGCGAAGGATGCCGCCATGGGTCCGCTCCGCAGCCTGGGCGAGCGGCTGCTGGAAATGACGATGGATGAGATCCGGCCGATTCAGTTCGAGGACTTCGAGGCGAGTTTGGCGGCGATCAAGCCGAGCGTGACGACGCGGGGACTGCAGCAATTCGAGGAGTGGGCTAACGAGTTTGGCGAGCGGGGGTCATAGAGAACGTGGATGCATGCATAGTTAAGTACGGGACATCAACTTGGTATAAGGGGTGGTGTTTTGAGATGTCCTCGCCTGATTGATACTGTATAGTAAACACTATGGACTTTACTTGTCCACCATCCTTGGATGGCCCTTTCACAAGAATAAAAGAGATCACTTTTGCATTTGCTTTTAAACCGACTTACCAACCGTACCAAAGGTCTTATCTCTTGTTTCATGCTATCGAGTCGTGTTGCCCTTAGACTGGTCTGGGAAAATCATCCAAATTCATACATACAGCAACCGGTGCATCGACTCTGGGGAATACGATAAAGAGCTTCCAGTCGTTTCCTAAATCCGAGTGTCCATTCTCTCCTCCGCGAGCCACTGAGTTGTAATACTACGCCCTTTCTCTCATCTGGCCATTTGTTATATGTCAAACTGATCTAAAATATGTCATCAAGATTGTCATATAAACGGTGAACCCTATCCTATCCTATGCACCACAGCCACGGTTCATTGACACGAATGTTGCGTTGTTCGTCAGCTCAACATCGCAATGGTATAAGTTCTGATCAAAATCACATGTCATGGATGAATTTGGGCAACAATAGCGACGAAGAGACTGAACATGAAGCCACACGTCCACCATCCATCCAAATTTAGCAACATCTCACGATGCGAAGAACCTGCGGCGGAGCAGAGAGGCTTTACCGCCGTTTTGCTCTCTTAACAGTATCGTACCTTGGATCCTGGCAGATACGCTGAATAAAAGCGACGGTCACATTATTCAATCATATTATGCAACCGCCATGTCTGCGGCGTGGATTACCTCATGTTTTTGAACGTTCACGAGCAGCAACTCGGTGATGGCCGCCGATCCTTGCCAGCTTCGACGCAAGCCACGTTTCTTCGCATCTTCGAGAAAGCTTCCATGACTTGCCCTGATCTGGCTAGGCGCTCGTGCTGGACGGTCTCTCGGTCTTAGTCGGTCAGCCGTCAGACGTGCATGGGAATCGCAGACTTTCTCCTCGGCGCGCCGAAGTATCCAATGGGATTTATGGGACGGATGGATATTCCCTCCGATTTCCCGGCCGGTTCGCGTGCCTACGGAAAGAAATGTGTGCGTTTCATGCAGCTTTGTAGCCTCATGAGCCGGCTAACCTGAAAAGGCGCTCCGGTTATGTCAGTCCACATGCGATTCTTTCCTTACACAGGACCGACCGCGATGAGCCTCAGCCTAGGAATCCCGAGTGGTTGGTTTGAGGTCTTGGAAGCGAGCAAGCATTCGATTGGAGCAACGCAGAGCGCTCGGATGGGGAATCCTACCCCGACGAGGGCCTCTCTAAATGTATTTCGTGATATGATTATCAAATCTATTGAACCTCCATTGAGGCTTTCGGGATAGCCGTTTGGGCGTCGCATTGCTGAATCGAGGATGATGAAGCCACCAGGTGGCTGGCAGATATTGTAGATTCCAGGCTGTCCCTGACAGAGTAGATGGGGTCACCGCGCCTTGCAATATCGCGAAATATGCATATTATCTATGAACAGTCAAACTTTTGTCAAGATTGAGTGGATGACGCATAGCATTCGGATGCTAATCAGCGGTGTCTACTATGGTATGGTTCGTCTCCAACTCTCGAAGTCGTCTTATTCTGTCCCGATGAGGAATGGTTTCCCTGACATCCGCACGGACTCCACTGAAGCCTGAAAGCCCTGGATCACGACTGGATGGCGAAATCCTTGAGGGCGCCGAAAAGGAATGGCAGGGAATGGCAGGGAGGGGAGAACCACAGCATGACTGGCCTCGTATCGTTTCTTTCCCCCACACTTGGTCATCACGACCACAACCGCCGACACACCTACAGATTACCTCCCAGTATCACCATTGCACATCATCTCTTATTCCTGAAGAAGCCTTTGCGTGGAGTCCACTGACGTTGCCGACCGTGCTGTATCCCCTCGAACCGCTTTCGCGTCTAAACATAGCCCCATACAGCCCTGCACCTGTCCCTTACCAGAACTACCGGTCGAGATAGATCGTGTGTTTATATTCCGTCGCTTCTCCACCTTTGGCAGATCTCGGTTGAGTTATCGAGCCCTGCGACTTCTCTACTGAGAATCTCAAAGAGTTAAGAGTCTTCGACTTGATATCTTCCATCCGGATGTATCCCGGACAGCAGTACCACTCTGGTCCACCCCCTCCGCAGGGCGGGTATGGCCCCCCTCAACAGCAGTATGGCGCGCCGCCACCCCAGCAATACCAGCAGTACCCGCCTCAAGGCTACCCGTAAGTGATGGGAGCACGTTCGTCGTCCTCCCCTATCTAATATATGCAATAGCCCGCAGCAACAGCAGCCACAATACCATGGACATCCCCCAAGCCCGCAGCCATACGGTCAACCCCCTCCAAGCTCGCAACCTGCATATGGAGGAGGAGGTTACGGCTATAATGCCCCTCCTCAGCAAAATTACTACCAGCAACCCCCTCCACAGCAATATGCTCCTCGTAGGTACTCTCCATTGTAGTGTTGATACAGATCTGACAGGTTTTAGAGCCCTCACATTCCCCTCGGCCGGGCCCCCCTCCTCCACCCACAGGCGGCCAACAGTTCGGCCATGGCGCTCCCGGTGGCTATACCTTCCAGTACTCGAATTGCACAGGTCGAAGAAAAGCGCTACTGATCGGGATCAACTACTTCGGCCAGCGAGGACAACTTCGAGGATGCATCAACGATGTCAAGAATTTGAGCAACTACCTCAACCAGCACTTCGGCTATCGTCGCGAAGGTAGGAGGACCGATCCAATCCCTTCGACCCTTGTTAATGACGTTTTCAGATATGGTCCTTCTCACCGATGACCAACAAAATCCTATGAGCCAGCCGACCAAGGTGAATATCCTGCGAGCCATGCACTGGCTTGTGAAGGATGCTCAACCCAACGATTCCCTCTTCTTCCACTATTCTGGTCATGGAGGTCAGACTCGCGACTTGGATGGTGATGAAGAAGACGGTCACGACGAGGTCATCTATCCTGTGGACTTCCGAACTGCTGGGTATGTTCTCCATAGCCAGATACAGAGTAGCGTTACTGACAATTCTTAGTCATGTCGTTGACGACGAGATGCACCAGATAATGTATGACAATTTTCAATTTGGCAATCGAATTATCCGCTAACATACATTCAGGGTGTCTAGCCTCAAACCCGGCGTCCGCCTCACTGCGATCTTCGACTCCTGCCATTCCGGCTCCGCCCTCGACTTGCCCTACATCTACTCCACCCAAGGTCTTCTCAAAGAGCCCGACCTCGCGAAAGAAGCTGGAAAAGGTCTTCTCGGCATCGTCTCTTCATATGCTCGTGGTGATATCAGTGGCAGTACGTGTTGTCCACTTTCCGGCCACATATAATCCCCTGACTAATATCTCTTAGTGCTTTCTACTGGTCTTGGCCTCGTGAAGCGAGCGGCATCGGGAGATGCGACCTACAAGAAGAACCTCCGGACGAAAACGAGCCCCGCCGATGTGATCATGTGGAGCGGCTCCAAGGATACTCAGACTTCGTACGTGGACGGATGTTTTCTTTCGCCTTATCTTGAACCGTATTTGGATCCTTCGTGCATGACCCCACCCTCGTTGACACCTTCCCCCCCTTATTCTACACTTGCACCCGATCCGTATCTTAACCCTTGGGTCGTGCCACCTCCTTCTTTTGAGTTCTCTGCAGTTTAGCACGCCTTGGTGTTCTCTTTTTTTGGCATTTGGATAGCGAAGGCGCTTGGACGAGGAAAGGATATACCCCATAGAGCGCAAAGTCTTTCGCATTTTTTCAGCATTTGTACGAGTCTATATATAGCTACGATATGAACGACTTTCACGTCCCAAGATCGGCTTGGCTGCATATCCCTCCAACCAGGGGGGATATGTCGGCTAGAGCCGGTTTTGGGACGACGAGTTGCGTTGCATGGATGACCCCACGGAGGTTTGCGGGGAGTCACATTGCCTTTGTCCTTCACCTGCTTACTTGCTCGCCTATCTTGAAAGGAACTCAAGCTAACATGTACTCTTTAGGGCCGATGCATCTATCAGTGGTGAAGCGACCGGTGCCATGAGCTGGGGTATGTTGACCGCCCACCTCCTACCATCTAATTCCTCGCTAACATACGCTAGCATTCGTCACCGCCCTGAAGAAGAACCCGCATCAGAGCTACGTGCAGCTCCTCAATTCTATCCGCACGGAGCTGTCCGGAAAGTACAGTCAGAAGCCACAATTGTCCAGCAGCCACCCCTTGAACGTGGTATGTACCCTCCTCCTTCCTGGCGTCAACCGATGCTAATCGCTCCCTCCAGAACCTGCTTTATGTGATGTAACGGCCCGATATGTATATCCCTGTCGAATGGAAGCGACCCTTGCAGCGGAAGGTTCATGTATATACGGCCGTAGGGATCAGAAAAGGGATGGAAATTGGTATGGGGAAATTGGCATAGGGAAATTGGCATGGGGAAATTTCATTTGGCGTTCTGCGGACGATCGTTGGATTTGGATCTTATATTTCGGAGACGGAGAGGTAGGATTCTGTTCAAAGTTTAGGCCGGTCTGAGGGTCTTAGTTGAGGGATCCGTTGCCATAAAGTGCGGCCTTTACAGTACGACGGACTCCATAGCCGCAGGAATACCAGCTAACCTAAAATATTATTTACTACTCTCCAGTCAGGTCTGACCGCCCCCGGTGACAAATTTCCCTCCCTATCTGGCCTCGTCAGGCACTATGGATCTATCGGTCACTTTAGAGGACGGACGGCATTTGGCTAGTCTGGGAAGACGACATCGCAAGAGACCTGATGGGGAGGCCCCAACACGAATTGATAACTGAGCCGTTGGAAAGTCGCCGGCCGTCCTGGTCTTGGGTGTCCGCGAATGTACGGATTGTGCACGATCTTCCTGCCTACGAGCATGATTAATCCTGCGTACCACTGTTCTGCTCCCCTGAGGAGTCTCGTTTTGATCACGGATATTGTCTCTTGTTTCTGTCGAGGTCGGAGTTACTAGCGCCCAGGAATCATAGATTTGTGACCTGACCAATGATCTTCCTCTTGGTCTTATCATTTTCGGGATTCGGAAGTGCAAATTGTTACTATTGTTTGAATTCAACGACAACCCCATTTTATTGGTCTATATCTTGACTCTCTTCGTATATCTGGGAGATTGCGGATACCCGAGATAGGTGAGCTTATGGAAATGACAGCAAAAGAATAGAGTTGTTGGCGAAGATTAGTTCCAACACAATGAATTTCTGGCATGGAGGCAGGATCAGACTCCTCATATACCCATACATCCACACATATGGTTGGGGAAATCCATAGAACATACGTTGTGAGAGCGAAAACTCGATACCATCCCTCATCTCATCGACCCAATCACCGCCCCCACCATCACCGCCGCCTCCCTCTCCCAATGCCCCTCCCCTGTCCTCCCCTTCCCACTCGCCGCCAACCCCGCCGCCGCAGTCGGCAACTGGCTCCCACGATTCACGCACCCCCGAATCGCCGCCCTGACCCGGTCGCTATTCGTCCGCAGCGTCCGTGCCGACACGCCGCCGCGCGACATGATCTCCTGGACGCGCGACGACAGCGAGGAGGCGAGGGAGCGCCAGAAGTAGGAGGGGAGGGAGGCGGTGTCGAGGGAGGTGAGGAGGGGGGCGAGGAAGTTCGGGGGGGTGGAGGGGGAAGTGGGGAAGTGTGGGTGGGAGGGTGGTTTGATGGATTCGAGGAGGGCTTCTAGGGCGACGATGTTCTGGCAGCGGGCGGAGATCTCGAGAAGGGTGCGGTCGAGGGTTGGCAATGTTGCGAGAGAGCGGGAGAGGCTGGCGAGGGATGACTTGAGGGATGTCTGGAGGTAGTCTTGCAGGGCGGAGAGCAGCAGTTTCGGGTCGAACGTCTCCGCTGTCGTCGCTCGGGTGGTTGGGGAGAGGAGGTAGAGCGAGAGGAGCGCGGCGGTGGCTTTCGAGCGGGTGTCGTCGGTTTGCGAGAACGTGTTGGCGCCCGTTTGGGACGTGCTGGAGAGGAGGGTCGACATGGAAAATTCCCGGACGATTTGCTGGGAGCGGGAGAGGATCGACCGTTCGGCGGCGAGGATGAGGTCGTTGCGTAGAGTGACGATCACCTTGATGCGGCCCAGGTGTTGGCCTTCTTCTCCGGGCTCAGAGGCACTGTAGAGCTGCCGGAAGAGGAGAATGGTGTTTGCACAGCGAACCATCGCGCGATGCTCGGGTTTCTTGTTGCCGCTCCCATCTTTACTCGTGCCGTTGACTTCGGATAATTGCCCATCAAGCTGTCGACCCAGGGTCAAGCAACGTGTGACAGCTCGAAGGATTTGAACCGTCTCGCACAGTCGATCGGCTGCAAGACGCACTTGCTCGGCTGCCTCATGGCGCTCGATCACCTCTTTCTCTAGGGTTGTGTATGCTTCGGTCAAGCTCGCTACCTGCGCTTCCACCTCGCCAAGGACTTTCCCCGCCGCTTCATCTTGGTCAATGGAGTACTTGAGAAGGGGAACGGCAGACTTGGTGGTCAGGGTGTCGATATGGGTGTCGATCTCCTGGACGTCGAAGAGGACGCGAGAAAGAGGGGTGGAGAGGTCCAGCGGCGTGTCGGATGTGTCGTTGGTCGAGAGGACGAGAGTATTGGCGAAAGAGGTGGGTGAGAAGTCGGGGTCCAGGAAGGTTTCATAGTCGATATAGGAGGGTTCTTCGTCTGCCATTGTGGATGTTTAGCTTAGATGGGTCGGGAAGACTTGCTGGGCCTCAATTGGTAGTGATATGCAACTTGTAAAGCATTGATATTCAAAGTAGCTCACTCCCTTGGTTAGCGAACACGATAGACAAAAGATGTAGGGCTGATGAAGCCACCTCCGACTTGCCGCCTGACGTGGGTCCCTTGACAGTTGACAGCTTGGATTTCACTCAGGAGATGTTCACGACAGTTCACGTTCATCCGATCTCACGCTCGCTGTCCATCAACAACGCGTCTTTAACGTTCCAACCCTTCTCTACGCTCCTTTGCTTTCCTTTTTAATTGTCTTCTTCTATGGGTCTGTAAGACCTTGAGTCTCTTGTGAGATGGCCCCAATATCTCGGGACGGCGACGTGGTTGCTTCGGTACGCATTCCCCGTTCTATGGCTTGTCCAAGCTGACAGCTGGCAGTTCTCAGGGAAATGGATATCAGGGGCACATACGATCGCTGCATATTGTACGGAATAGGCATCTTCACAATTCCATGAGCTAGATATACTGACAAAGGCAGCGGCGTTTGTTGGGGCTTTGATCGTGGGAATGTATGTTATCCCATTGCCTATACCCTCACCAGAATCTTATAGCAACTAGAGCTCTGCATTATGAAAAGATTGTGCAGAATGAGCACTGGGTAAGTCTAGCAGTTGGGGTGAATACCTAGCTATACTTGCTAATACATACATCTAGGGATACCCGGAAGAATGGTTCCCCTCAGTGTCTGCGACGATTGGCGACCGATACCCCGAACGATCGGTATTCCAACTCTTCATTGCCATAACCTCCGGTAATAGCGGTTTACGATACGAATTCTGGCATATCTAACCGGATTCAGGGCCCCGATTCGCGCTCGTAGCGCTCTGGTACGTCCTGACCAAACGACCAAACTCATCCCTTTCGAACTTCGTGGCCGGAGTGGGCATTTTCAGAACCCTTACGTGCGGCGGGTGGACATACGTGACGTCTACCGATGATCACAATTGGCACGATATCTTCATGATCTCGTATTTGGTCGCTACGGTGCCGTGGACTTTGGGTTGCCTAGCTCTCAGTCCGCAAAACCCTCAAGCTATCAGGTGGAGGAAGCGGTTCGCGACCGCGTTCTTCGGGACGATTGTACCCCTGATATACTTCTTCATTCAGCATAAAGTGCATAAGGTGGCAGGAGGTAAAGCGATCACGCCAGATCGATTCGTTATTGAGAGATACTGACTTTTGCTTCAGCGTATACGATCTATGCCTTCTTTGAGTGGGCGCTTGTCTTACTTGACGTTGGATTCGATGCCGTCACAATGCTGGATTTTGACGGCGTTGAGGTCGTTGTCAAAGATATCCGAGGCATTACAAGAGGGTATGTTCCATGGCTACCGAAGTAAATAGCAATGAAAGGAAATTTAATAACGCGCTTTGGTTCCACAGTGCCGACAACCGCCTTGCGGATGCTGTTCTGGAGAAGCAGTAAGCCTTTCTCCCCATTCCCCTCGATCCTATGCTGAGTAGATATATAGGAAAGCCAAACCGGCTGCCCAGGTCATATCTGCTGGTTTTTCCTGGCCCGTAGCCTTCGATGCTGCTGCAGATGTTTACAATGGGGTATGTACTTTCCATCTTGTCAATAAATGAAGCTTACATCGGTTACAGTTTGTATTCTGGTCAATGTTGACCTCGCTTGGACTTTGCGTTTGGTACTTCCCATTGTGGCACATGGGTATCTCTGGTTTCGAAGCCTTTATCGTCTGTACTCTGACTCCATACATCCTTGGTCCGAGAGCCATTCGAAACCTCTTCTTCCGCAACGTGCGCGTCCTCCATCTTCTCTCTTTATCCGGCCTGCTAGCTTGGCTGCTCAAAGATCCCACATACCGACTCTTTGCCGTTGCATTTGGCGTCGGTATGTCTTGCCTTGCCTGGGTCTGTACCTTTGGCGCCGCTGAAAGCAAGCCTGCATACCGTCTTGAATCGCGCATCTCCGCATTCTGCCTCGGCCTGATAATGTCTAGCATTGCGAAATTCGCATGGCACACGAACAACCCCATTTGGCCTGTTGTCAACGAGACTAACGGTGGCTGGAACAAAATTGGCCTCCTATTCGCCGTTCTTTCCATCCTGCGTTCCACAAGGGACGACACTTCGGACAAATTCTATCCGGTCCCGCCGCGAACTGGGGGAAAGCCCGGTTCCCCCGCATTGGCTGGACTCGGCTTTGCGGGAGTCATGTTTTCGATGCACTCCCTCCTATCGGATTCCAGCACGATGACCCTCTGGGTCTGGAGCGGTTATCCGGTCAATGGCCCCTTGGCATCTCCACATGGTGCCTACACGATCATCGCGATGGGGGTGGGACTGCTATTTGGGGTGATGGTACCCGGTATCGCGCGAAGCTGGACCTTCTACGGGATTGGATCCATTGGTGCAGCTGCATTGGTTGCATTCGATGACTGGACTGGGTACTACGGTGCACTGGCTATTGCAACCTATATCATGGCCATTGCGCCCGTCTTGATTCGGTCTGCCGTCCACCAAAGGGCATACGCATCTACCTTCGGGTTCGGCTTCTTGATCTACAATATCCTTGTCCTCGCCCACGTCTGGGTCGTGGCCTACGCGTTCGTTCCAGGCGGACCGTTGATGCGCGAGCACACGGATTGGGTCGTGGCGGTCACCATGCTCTGCATCGGGGCCGGAGTCTACGAGGCCACCGCACGTGCTGCAGCACCTTCAAAGAAGCCAAAAAAGCCTGCGCAGACGTCTCCGACAGCACGAAGGCAGCGCGGTTTCTACATCTATATCCTGGGTGGTTTGCAGCTCCTTGCGATCGCGGTCGCGTACCTCCGTTTCCCAACGTACGACTACACTCCTTACCATCCCGACTCCAATGTCCTGACCGCTGGTATCTGGACCGTCCATTTCTCTCTCGACAACGACATGTGGGATTCGTCTCGCCGCATGGCATACCTGCTTAAAAACATGGAACTCGACGTTATTGGACTGCTCGAGTCGGATCTCCAGCGGGTCATCATGGGCAACCGCGATACCACGCAGTATCTCGCCGAAGAGCTCGGCATGTACGTGGATTACGGCCCGGGCCCTGATAAACACACATGGGGTGCCGCACTTCTCAGCAAGTTCCCCATCGTCAACAGCACGCATCACCTCCTACCTAGCCCTGTCGGTGAATTAGCCCCCGCCATCCACGCCACGCTCGATGCGTACGGGGAGCTGGTCGATGTGGTGGTATTCCATTCCGGGCAAGAAGAGGACCCGGAAGACCGGCGATTGCAGACCGAGTACCTATCGAACTTGATGGGCTCGGTGACGACGCGTCCGGTGATCTTACTGAGTTATCTGGTTACCACGCCAAAGCAGGGGAACTATAACACGTATGTCGGGGAGGTAAGTGGCATGAGGGATATTGATCATACGGATTGGGATCGGTGGTGCGAGTATGTGTTGTATAAGGGGTTGAAGAGGATTGGGTATGCTCGACTGAGTCGAGGGACGATTACCGATACCGAGTTGCAGGTACGCTGTCATTTAATCCCCCTTTTCACATGCAGCATCTTTTTCCGTAACGCATGCTAATGATGTGCAGGTTGGGAAGTTCGTTGTTGGTCAACCGGAGGGCTCCGACGAGCATATATCCGAAGATCACGTTCCGGAAGACATGCGATTTCCGGCATTGTTCCGTGGAGAGGGCGTGAAGGGTCACAGATATCATGTCTTCGATGAGCCTAGGTACTACGCTTAGATATTATACATGTAACATTAAGTTTCATATAGGTATTTAATAACAGACCGATGATTATGCATCATTCTGGTTACGATACTGGAGTCTGGGGTTATGATGAATCTTCATCCGCAATGTGCCGTCGTTCACCACATACCATGATTAGGGAATATGTGGACTTGCTGCGCTTCCCGTTTTGCTGCTTTTGGGTGACCTGGATTAGCAACGGTGAGTGGTAACTGGTAAGGAATTTCTAAATTCTATTGCCCGCAGCTTGGGCCTGCCTCACTACCTTCTATTTATAATCACACTCCACATTGCCGGGATAACGACTATTATCGAGAAATAGTGGGAGTATAACGCTCATTCCTAATAATGATTCCAAAGACGAGAGTCAATCACCAACCACGCCGGATCACGATCACCGCCAAGGCCACAAGGCTGAGGCAGAGCAAGGGAGGCACTTACTAAGGTATCAACCTGGTTCTACATGCCGTTCTGCAACACTGCCAGTCAGAATCTAGTATTCTTGAACAACCGAGCTGCCTAGCACAATCCTGAAGCAGCTTGTAAAACATCATGTCCATGAAAGTACTCTCTGATGTTAGCCCACCAGTCCAAAGTTTTGGTTTCCAGTACTCATCACTGCCGGAGAAGAAGGCAGTGGTTCGTCTTCTAGAACTTCTTCCAGGCGACCCTGATGGCAAGATTCGATGTGAGCTCATGGATTTCGAGATTAAAGATGCTGATCAGAAGCCATATGAAGCACTCTCTTACGTTTGGGGGGAGGGGGAAGGTTCGACCGAAATCACTGTCAACAACGAGAGGATGACGATTCGACCGAATCTGCACTTGGCATTACAATCCCTTCGAAACCAGGATTCCGCCCGAACGTTCTGGGTAGATGCAATCTGTATTGATCAGAATAATAATAAAGAAAGAGGCCATCAAGTGAATTTGATGAAGAGCATTTTTCAAGGAGCAAAAGGGGTGGTCGTTTGGCTTGGAGAAGACACCGAGCAAACCAATATTGCCATGGACTCCCTAAATTATCTTGCAGATGTGCTTGACAAATTTGGTGTAGGACAGCAGGAGGATCTAAGATCGAAATCTCTCTTAAGAATCAATGTCCATCATCAAGAAGCAGTTGATGGCTTTCGAGACCTTCTCCAAAGGCAATGGTACCAGAGAGCCTGGATCGTCCAGGAAATTGCTCTTGCCCGCAGCGCTACTATCATGTGTGGGAAGAAGTCGGTCTCAGCAGGGATTTTTTCGTCTCTCTCCTGGATGCTTGAAAAATCCGTTGAGATATCTCCAATCGAGCCTCTACTAAATGTTATGCCCGGATTCTTAAGAGAGAGAAAAGACTCCTGGTGGACGTTAGAACGGGATCTCTTTGCGCTTCTCCTTAAATTTCGCGACAGTAAAACGACCGAACAGAGGGACAAGATCTATGCTTTCCTTGGTATTGCGAGTGATATTACCAACGGGAATTTTGAAGCGAGCTACGAGATTAGTGAGCAGGACCTTGTTCAGGATATTATATCTTTCCTTTCTTTCGGAGTTAGGGTCAATCGCCCCGTGTTCAGTGCTCCGCGATGGACATTGGATATTTTTTTTGAGAATTTACCCTTCCTTCCATTCATTGTTTTGGATAGAGTCAATCGATCGACCATTTCGTCCGAAGCATTAAAGTTTCTCTGTATAACACGCTCTACAATTATTGGTCATGCCCAAGCTAGAAGGACGCGCATCTCGACCGGAGGAGAAATGGAAGCATTTATAACCTTTTCGAAGAACTCTAAGGAGAATCGCAGTATCCAAAAAAGCACTAGGACAGTGTGTCAAGATATCTTCAGTCATCTCTTCGAATCAAATTACCCGAACTGGAACAATAATGGTGGAGTTGGGATTCTGTTAAAAGCAGCGAAAGAAGGACACGTAGTGATTGCTAGGCATTTGCTTTCAACCACAAGCGTTGGTGGTAACTCGAAGGGTAACGACGGCCGAACGCCGCTGTCGTGGGCCGCCGGGAACGGGAATGACGCTATCGTCAAGCTGCTGCTTGATACTGGCAAGGTCAATGTTAACTCGAAGGATAGCAGTTATATCCGGACGCCGCTGTCGTGGGCCACTAAAAATGGGCACGATGGTATCGTCAAGATGCTGCTCGAGACGGGCCAAGTCGACGTCGACTCGAGGGACAGCTCTGCCCGGACGCCGCTGTCGTGGGCTACTGAGAGCGGGCACGAGGCCATCGTCAAATTGTTGCTCGAGACGGCCCAAGTCGACGTTGACTCGGAGGACAGCTCCGGCCAGACGCCGCTGTCATGGGCCTCTAAAAACGGGCATAAGGCCATCATCAAGCTGCTACTCGATACTGGCAAGGTCAATGTCGACTCGAAGGACGGATCCGGCCAGACGCCGCTGTCGTGGGCCGCTGAGAACGGACACGAGGCCATCGTCAAACTGCTGCTCGAGACGGGTCAGGTCGACGTTGACTCGAGGGACAGCTCCGGCCAGACGCCGCTGTGGTGGGCCGCTGAGAACGGGCACGAGGCCATCGTCAAGCTGCTGCTCGAGACGGGTCAAGTCGACGTCGACTTGAAAACCCGCTCCGGCCGGACGCCGCTGTGGTGGGCCGCTGAGAACGGTCACGAGGCCATCGTCAAGCTGCTGCTCGAGACGGGCCAAGTCGACATCGACTCGAAGGACTGGTCCGGCCGGACGCCGCTATCGTGGGCGGCTGAGAACGGGCACGAGGCCACCGTCAAGCTGCTGCTCGAGACGGGCCAAGTCGATGTCGACTCGAAGGACGGCTCAGGCCAGACACCGCTGTGGTGGGCCGCTGAGAACGGACACGAGGCCGTCATAATGCTGCTGCTTGAGACGGGCCAAGTCGACGTCGACTCGAAGGACCGCTCCGGCCAGACACCGGTGTGGTGGGCCGCTGAGAACGGGCACGTGGCCATCGTAAAGCTGCTGCTCGAGACGGGCCAAGTCGACGTCGACTC